AAGTGAATTGTTGAATTCTCACAAATTTTTAAAATTGGTTTTTGGGTTCGAATTTGGTATTGAGTACTACCTTTCTAATTGTACTAATTTATTAGTGTCTTGTGCAAATTAAGGCTAGATTAGATCCACAAAAAATATATTATAAAAAAGCAAAGGAAGTTTTTAAAAAATAGGCTTTCTTAGGGTAAGGTAGATTTAAAACCATAAGGATAGGGTAATATAAGATAGGATAAGGGTATAGCAGAGCAAGATAGGATAAGCTAGGAGAAGGTAGAGTAAGATAGGAGAAGCTAGGGTAAGGCAAGGCAAGGAAAGGAAAGGCAAGGCAAGGCAAGGCAAGGCAAGGCAAGGCAAGGCAAGGCAAGGCAAGGCAAGGCAAGGCAAGGCAAGGCAAGGCAAGGCAAGGCAAGGCAAGGTATTATAATCGATTATTATTATTTCTTATTACAGAGAGTAATAGATCAGTTTTGGCGGAAACCAAATCGCCTGTAGGCTTTTGTTATAAAAAGAATGAAAATTCAATAAGAATAGAAACGACGTCAGAAAACAAACGTTCTAGTTTCTTTAATGATTATTATACAACGGTTTGATTCCGTTTCCGTTTTGATTATATATTCGACTTTGTAATTATCGCCTTGTCATAAAGTTTTTTTTTCACAAATGTGTTTGTTCAGTCGTTTATTTAAGGTATTGAGATGGGCGATTGAGCGGAATAGATGACCTTTTGTTGAAACTCAGGGTGAGATAAGACACAAGGATAGAGCTAGGGCTAGGGTCAAGGCCCAAGTTTGAGTCCGCAGGTTTTTGGGCCCGGTTCGCAAATATTTTTATTTGATTTGGCCTGTCAGGTAGAAAGCGCAGGTTAGGGCTCAGGACTAGGGCTCTGGGCTAGGGCTCTGGGCTAGGGCTCTGGGCTAGGGCTCTGGGCTAGGGCTCTGGGCTAGGGCTCTGGGCTAGGGCTCTGGGCTAGGGCTCTGGGCTAGGGCTCTGGGCTAGGGCTCTGGGCTAGGGCTCTGGGCTAGGGCTCTGGGCTAGGGCTCTGGGCTAGGGCTCTGGGCTAGGGCTCTGGGCTAGGGCTCTGGGCTAGGGCTCTGGGCTAGGGCTCTGGGCTAGGGCTCTGGGTAGGGATGGCGTTACTTCCTACTGTACCCCTCGTCTTAGTCATCAAATTTCAACCATTAGGTTTTGATTTGCGGACGTATTTAAAGAAATTTGAAGCATCGGCCGCCGGAAAAGGGTCATTGTTTTGTTTGTTTTAACGTTTTTAAGGCCGCCAGTATTTTGTTACATCGTCGTACTTAAATGGACATTGGAGATTGGGGCTTGTTTTCGGTTGTGGACGGCAATTTATTATTGTGCCATTGCTTAGGTCATAAATTATAGGAAAAATATTGTAGTAAGTAAAAAGTGTCACATGTAGTCGAAAAAAAAATTTGGTTTTTTTTTGTTTTTTGGTCAAAAAGTCTGTAGAATCGAGTGTTATTTTACAGTTAAGGCTTTGTAGGGCAGAGTAGGGAGTGGGGTAGGGTAGGGCGGGGGTAAAATAGGGTGGGGGTAAAGTATGGTGGGGTAAACGTGAGCAAATAGGGCGAGATGGGTAAAACAGAATGAGGAAATCCCTTAATTCTAACCCTAGAGTGGGGTAGAATTAAGGGGGTGGGGTAGGGTAAAAAAACTCTGCGAATTTTTTTTTCTACTCCAGCCAATCATTTTTTTTATCAAAATGACCACTACTGTTAGCACTTGACTTATGAAACTTTTTTTTTGTTTCCTCACGCATCGCCACTCCAAAGGCAAAAAACAAACACAAGTACCTCAGGGGATCACATATTGTTAGCCGAGCGATGACAAAACGTTTCGGGATTATTAAGCCGTTATGAGTGCACAGAAAGCGTGATGGGGGGTCTTTGACAGTCTTTGCGGTTAACGATAAGAAAAGTGTTTCTGGGGGTGATTATTGTTGTTTTTTGAGAGGGGGGGGGGAGGGTAGAGAGGGGTAAGTGGGGTAATAATGTTTTCAAGCGGGTGAGGGTACATTGTTTTTTGGGGTTTGGGGGGGGTCTTATTGTTGTTTTTGAAAGCTATAAACAGTTTTTTAATTAAAGTAGTGTAAATATTTTGACATTTGAACGATTTCTTTTACAGTTTTTTGTCTTGCTTTTACAACCTATCCTTTTGGTAACTTCATGTTCCCTAAGCTCTAAGGTACTTTTGTTTTATTCTATTTTGATCTCATCTGCAGTCTCTTGACTGTAATACCATAGTCATAGCCTTAGTTTAGCGCGTTTCTAGCTATTTCTTTATCTGTGCTTAGAGAAATGGCTAGTGCAGCCTTAATTGAGCTTTACCTTAGTTCCACCCTAGTTGGTTTAAAACTAACTCCGTATTAGTCTATATCTAGCTCTAACAGTGTATTTCAGTCTATTTTACGAGATTTGTAGCTAAATCTACATTACCCTTTTGTTATTCTTACCTGAGGCCTATTCTAGCCGAACCATGGCCCTACTTTCTTTCTGCTTAGCTTTTTTCTAGCCCTACCCTAAACGTAACATAGTTCTACACTAGGTTCTCTAACTCTACATCAACTCTAGCCTTATATTATAAGATACGTTCAGGCGTAGTCGTTCGAACGTTTTAATCGCTTTTTCGAACATTTCCACTCTTTGATTTTATGAGTAAAGCTTTGTTTACAAACCACTAAAAGGCTAATTGAATTAATACATGGAATTGTTTAGGTTTGATTTGCACACATCAGTTGCAACAATTTTTAGGTGGGGTAGTGTAAAATACGCTTTGACTTTTGTCTGTTAGTTTTTAAATTTAAAAAAGTTATTAGGTGCTGACATAAAGAACCCGCCATTTGTTACATGGAATTACATCAAAGTGTGGCGGGTTCTTTATGTTGGCACCTAATATATACGTACAATATTTTGTATTTTACAATTTTTAATTGTGTTTGAAAATATTTTCAAATTTTATAGCTCAATTTATGAATTTCAAAAGGTTTGGTATACTTTATAAAACTGTTTGATTAATACGTATGGAAAACATGTGGTTTCAGGCTTTATATTATTATATATCAGCGTTCATTTTCCGTAGTAATAATATTATAAAGATGTGTTAGATATTAAAACGACAAGTAAGGCTAGAGCTAGTGTTCATGTTAAGACTTTGGCTAGAGTTTCTGTTAGGGAATAGGTTATACTTTAGGCTTGAGTTTTAGATAGGATACAGCTCAAGCTAGATTTTTATAATCTTATAAAGTGCCTCTGGTGGTAGAAAGTAACGTTTTTATTTAATTTTTGTTAAAATATTTAAATTTTTTATTTTTTTGTAAAAAGCAATAATTTTTGTGACATTTTGTTTAAAATCGATAATATGTGTGACACTTCGTTACATATAATCATTTTTTGAAATTTTAAGTTAAAATAACGTTTTAAGCATTAAAATTATAAAAATTTTAATTTCATTGTTGATAAGATTTTTAAAAAATTAAAAATCAATATTTTTTGTAGCATTTCGTACAAATTAAAAAAAAAATTTTTGATGTACACAAGGTCGCTCGACTCTTATAAAAAATCTGTTTTAATAACAAAAAACTGTCAAAAACAATGTCACTATACAAAACTCGTTGATTGTTTATCTTCTTTGTCTTATCACCGAACTTTAAACAACCAAACGCCCGGAGACTAATCGATCTGTTACAAAAACAAATAGTATAAGAGTATTTGAAGATCAATGTTTTGTTTTTCATCATTTTGTTTATTCGTTTATAAATCAGGCCGTTCATTAATATAAACTGTCTATGTTGTTGTATATTGAGCCGAGGGTATTTACGTGACATAAGATAATGATTGTCAGTGTAGGGTATGGGATAAGATAGGTAAAGGAAGATAGACAGGGTAGGGTAAAAAAATTTTGAATTTAAAGGCAATTTTTATTTATATTTGTTGTTTTTTATGTCTTATCAAAAAACAAGTATTTGAGTTCTTTCTTTTACAAATTGATTGACATGTGGTTAGTGATGCCAAATAATAGTTATTTGACACTTTCTTAACAATATTTTTAATATCGGTATTAAATAAACTTGTAAAGAAAGCGAGCCAAGTTTAATGGTCTTTTTTTAGGTGACAATAAAAAATCTTTATGTTAGGTTAGACTTAAAATGGGGCCTACTGGACTCGGCCCGGCCTCTGCTCAAAGAAAAAAATTTTTTTAAATTTTTAAATTGGGGAAGGAATGGGGCCACAATTTTCATTTCTACGAATTTTTTTTTCTTTCGACCTTCCCGATACGCTGTAAAAATGTCAAAAGATAAAACTGAACGTATGTTCATTTTATTTTTTTTATGAATACATAGTATTGTAAAAAGCATTCTGAGTTTTGTAAAGAAGCTCTTTTACATTTTTTTTGTTTTATACATTTAGAAACGTATTCAAAATTTTGAGATCGACTACTGTCATTAGGAATTCAAAAAAAATTATATTTAGCACTTGCAGTAGAACTTTTGTATAACAAAACCCTATATAGGAGAAACTTTTGAATTTTGGCTAACACTACAATAGTAAATTTAAAACACTTGTACTATAATATATCAAAGCTCTTTTATAACGAACAAGTTTTGCAGTTCCGAGCAAGTTGTTATACAGAGGTTCTACTGTATACAGTACATGTAAGCAGCTCTACAACTCATATTGAACACAAGGTACAACTGTACATTTTTTGATTATATTGTTATGACGTTCATTGTAATTTTTGAGTTTCATGTTTTGATGACTACAGGACTATTTAAATCCGTATTTTACCATACTCTTACAAATTTATAATCTTTTATTGAATTACAGTTAAACTTCTGTATACTAACGATTCGCTCAAAGATCTTATTTATGTTTGTCAACTGATTTTTTAAATTTTTTAAATTTTCATATAATTCTTTCCAGAACCCAACCGATCGAATGACATTACCTCTCTAATCAAACTCAAAATCCCAACCTAGTACCATGCGGGTGGCGTATTCGCGAGCGCCGAGCGCCACCCGCTCCTCCTCCGCCTCCACGTTGGAATCGTTTCTGTCCAAGACTTCGGAGAAGTCGCAAAGCATTCTCTTTACCTTACTATTGCTGATAATATTGGTACTGAGTGTTGGAGTGTTACTAGGCTTTTTTGATGAAATTATCATCAAAATCTTCCATGGGAGTGATAAGAAATGGGTTGAATATGAAGGAATTGAGACGGATTTTAGAAAACCGCCGGAAGGTTTAAATGCTACTGATGATTTTAAGGATTCTGATGTCAATTTTGGTGCTACTGATAATAATTTGGTTGAAGTGGATTCTACCAAAGATTCTGAAGCTTCTGATTCTACAGAAGATGACCCTACTTTTAGTAGTAACAATGTTATTCACCTATCAAATCAAAAAGCAATCAATGGTTCAGCTCGTATTTTACAAACTTCCAATCCAATTACTGGTCGATATCTCACAACAACTACTACAACAAAGCCTGCTTCATCATTTACTACAACTCCAAGTCCAATATCAATATTTTCTACTACAATAAAGTCATTAAACTCTTCAGCAAGTCTACAAAAATCATCAAAAACACCTACAAATCTACTAGAAACGGCCATAACTTTTTTGACAACATCAAAATCAACCGAAGCCAGAAAGTTTATTGATAAAGAAAAAGCTGTGGAATTGCCTACAGAAGCTACTACAACAATTGAAAAGACAGCTGACAAGAATGAAGAAGTGAAAAGCCCTGGTATCGTAAAATCGACCAAAGTTCAACCAACATTAATTGGAGTTACTGCCACTTTTAGTACGAAACCCGCAGAAAAATTGGAGGAAATGGTAAGCCACCCTACCCTACCCTACCCTACCCTCTATTTTCCCTTATAATATCAACCTTTTCACGTTTTTGTCTTGTTCTGCCACTTCTACATATAAATTATATTTTTACTTTCAGCCCCCTGTAATAGTAACAGCTCTATTAGACATCGGCCGCGGCGACTGGGAACGCTTCACCCGCCCATTCGACGTCTACCTAGAGTCTCTAAATCATCTAATTCGCATGCCAAATCCAATAATAGTATTTGGAAATGACAAAGTGGCACAATACATTAAAATCTACCCTAAGGCAATTCAAGATCGAATTCAGTTCATTGATACTCGACTAAAAGACCTGCCCTTCTACTCGTACCGACAAGAGATCGGTGACATTTTAAAGACAGAACAAGAGAATTGGCCAGATTCATGGCCAGAAAGGTTCAAGACTCATCCTGAAGCATGGTCTGCCGATTATAATATTGTAGTCAACTCGAAGTCGTATTTTATGTATAAGGCTACAGTCATTTCGAAGTTCAAGTCAGAGTTCTTTGCTTGGGTCGACGCTGGTTATAGTTAGTTTTTGAGAAGAATACTAATTAAAAATGGCATTTTTGAAAAAATTTTAGACTTTATTAAAATTTTACCATGTTTTTTAAATTTAAAAAAAATTTAAATTCGAAATTTTCGAAATTTTAAAAAATTAAAAATATTTTTTAAAATTTTTAAAGTTTTTTTTGTAAAATACGCTTATTCGTTCCGCTATTTTATAAATGCTTACTTTTAATTTTCATTGCTTTAGGTCACGGTGAAAGAAGTAAGATACCGTTTTGGACGTGGAGACCAAAGCTAACTCGTGGCAAAATAACTTTGATTAAAGTTAGTCCACCTAATGAGAAGCCTGAAAAGTAAGTTTTTAAATTCATTTTAAGTATTTTTAAAGTGCGTTTGAGTTTTAAAATCATTTTTGAAAAAACAATAATTTTTGTGGCACTCCGTAAAAATCAATATTTTTTGTGACATTTCGTCGAAAATCAACACTTTTCGTAGAATATTGTTATTAAAGCGTTTTAATACGAAAAATTTAGATAGAAACGGTATTTTAGTGATTCATGAGTAAAATTAGAATAATTTTAAAAAATCAATAATTTTTGAGGCATTTCGCCAAAAAGCGACATTTTTTGTGGCACTTTGTTAATAATTTTTTTTTGTAAAACGGTTAAAAAAGCATTTTATTAGCATTAAAATTATGATTTTTAGTCGTTTTTAAAAATCAATCATTATTGTGGCACTTCGTCAAAATCAATATTTTTTGTGGCACTTCGTACTATATTTTTTTAGCAAAATTTTTAAAAAAAGTTATTTTTGTAATTTTATGATTAAAAGTAAAAATTTTTGAAGGTTAAAAAAATCGATAATTTTTGTGGCATTTCGTTACACTTTAATTTTTGCTTATTTTGTGTATGCTTCTACAAAAAAACGAACTTATCATTACTTCAAAAGCTAAAAAACTGAACTTGTTTATAATTATATAATTTTTTAGTTACGAATTTCACCAAGTTTATCGACAAACTCGTGACATTTTGAGTGGTGGTGTATTGGCTGGAGATGTGGCAACGATCAAACGATTTCATGCATTTTTCATGTTAACATTCACTTCTTTATTGGATCAAGGGAAGGTTGATGACGACCAGACGACTCTACTTTTTACTATCAAAAACTACCGTAGTACTTTCAATATCCTTCATGGAGGATGGTTGGATGCCTTTAAAGTCATACCTAGAGAGCCATATCAGCGACGACGGAAGAGGAGTTATTTAAAGGTTTGGTAGAGCTTTTTTAAGGTTTAGAATAGGGTTTTACAGTATCTTCTTGTTTTATATAGTAATAACCTACCATATCCTACCTTACTCTACTTACCCTATCTTACTCTATCTACTCTACACTACTCTGTCTATTCTACCCGACCAATATTAAAGCTAGAGCTAGTAGCTTGGGATACTCCTCACGCAATTTGTGATACAAGAGCTCTACTGTACTATACAAAACGCTATGTTTATCGTGTTTGTACATTATTGTTAAAATTTAAAATTTTGAAAAAATTAGTAATAATTTAACTATTTTTAGTACCATTTGACTACCTAGTGTTATATTTTCTTCATTTTCTTCTCTATAATAACACATTTATTGAAAAACGTCTGCATATCTTGATATTTACTTTGAACTCAGTTACTATTCGATACTACTTATCTACTGCTATTTGTAATAAACTTTTTAAAATACTTTGTTAGAAGTATGTTAACATTGATTTTTATGTTTTTATAATCAAATGGCATTTTCGATAGAAATAAATTGATTTGTGTTCCAAAAAGGACAGGGCTTTTTACGTTGTTGGGCCAGCAATGTAAGGGGGGGGTCAAAAAAATCTGCACAGGCGAAAAATTTTTTCCAATAATCCACAGGAAGGAGCACGTTCAACTTTTTTTTCAAAAATTTTTTTTCTGGGGGACGTTCTCCCCCTCCCGTCCATCACCCCCCCCAGCGCCCGGCCCTGTGTGTAGTAACATGCAAAATTCAAAAATTGCTTGATATATGTGATTTACGCTATAAAAGAGAGTTTTATGCAGTAATTTTACTGTAGCACTTAACTTCCTTCCTGTCATTTCTCCTAAACCAAATTTCATTTCGACAAAACCATGTATGCGCAAGAAATAACAAGTGATGAAAATAGAGCCGGAACGTCAGCAAATTCTTAAAGAGGCGGATGAGACATCCCCACATGCGGCTTCGAGGGCGCGGTGGCCCGGCGTCAAAGGACACACGAAAAAACGAAGATTTTTTGCGCCGCTCGAGGCGTCGAGAGTACGAGTTTCAAGAAGCAGAATTCGTCCGTTTTTCTGAATTTCGAGCCGTCTCGAGACTCATAAACGATATGAAATATTATAATGCTTTAAGAAGGCTGTTTTATATTAGGATCAGCCGGCTTGTTCTTTAGGTGTGATTATTGTAGGGAATGGTAGAAAGAGGAGGGGTGGGTATGATGGTTAGAATTTTTGATGACTTTACAGGAGTTTCAAACAAATTGTGTAGTGGTAGCCAAGGCCGGGCGCTGGAGGGGAGGGGAGGGGTACTAAAAAATTTTCGAAAAAAGTTGGATGTGGTCCCCCCTGTAAATTTTTTCGACCTCGCAGCCCTCGCCTGGCCCTGGTGGTAGCCGTGGATTTAAAAGTTGCTTGATATACGAAGTTTTGTTACGCTAACAAGGAAAGTACTCGACCTGCCCCGCTCTGATTGACTTCAAACTGTTTATAAAAGAAGATCATGTAACTATAAGACCTTCAGCAAAGTACTAAGCTGCGCTTTCCAGGAAATCTCGAGGAAATTGATATCAAAACATCTCGTTTTAAATTTTCCGCCAAATTGGCATTGTGTTGCAAGCTGATAGCTGCCATTTTTTGACTTTTAATCATTTTTCTTACATATACTAGTAGAATACCTTTAAATAAACCTACATTTTTTAATTTTCAAGCCTATTTTGTCGGAAACATCAAAAAAAGTGCTTGAAACACAATGCCAAACTTGCTAAATATGCGGGAAACCAAAATAAATCAAATTTTAAACTCAAAAGAGTTAGCTAAATTGTACCACCAATTGTTCTGAGTACTATTGTCAGTATTAAGAAGTCATCTAAAAATTTTGATCTGATTCTGAGCGGGGCAGGTAGGGTACTTTCCCTGTGAGTTGTATAACATTTTTATAATTGTTTTATATTTTTTGTTGTAAAATACGGTTCTTTAATGAAGTCGTTCTAATATTTTTTTATTACTTTATTTTTTTTTAGATTTTAGATCGATATCTTTACACAAAACCGAACTAGAACACCATGAATAACATAACAAATGTGCTAATCATAGCTTTATTATAGTCTTATCAGAAACCGTATTTTACCTTTTCAATTTTAAAATATAAAAATTTTTTTTATCTTTTTTAAAACTCAAAGGTTTTGTTAAAACTTATTCGCTATGCTTCTACCTACAACAATATCATTTTTAAAATCAGTTTTATCACTAAACATATTGATGACATTTCTAACATGCTCAACAAATGCGTCACGAGATTACTGTGCTAACGAAACGGATATTATCGACCATATACTGTATGATACGACAGTGCATTACAATAGGCATAAAACTCCGAATGATCCAGTGGACGTGAGGATCGAGTTGTGGGTACAAGAAGTGACGTCAGTGTCGGAAATGACACAAGATTTCGAAATTGGTGGGTTTTTTTGGTGAATAGGGTAGGGTAGATAAAGGTGAAAAAAAATTTATTTTTCTTATTTTAAAATTTTTTAAATGTTTTTTTATTTTAATTTTTGAATTTTTAGTAAAAAGCGCGCCAAAAGTTGTGTTACACGGCTTTTTAATCCAATATTTATTTTATCAACAAATATAACTAAAACGACAACTAACAATAGTAAGATATAGTACTAGTTATAACTTAGTCAATCGGTTTTGATTTGACCTTCCTTAGCGGTAAAGTTTTGTAACAGAAATTTTGGCGCACCCAAAAGTCTTCCCAATAAAGTTTTGTAACAGAACTTTTGGCGCACTCTGTAATTTAAAATTTTTTATTCTAAAACACTTTTAAATTGCTCGAAATTCATGTTAGTGCCACTTTGAAGCGCATTATGCAAAGTAACAGAACGCTGATTTCCGTTTAGGAAACTGTCCTTTGGGAATAAATAATGTTTTTGGGAGACGTTTTAGAGGTCTGGATAAGATTTTAAGGCTGAAATGAGAAATGAAATTGTAAAATACGCAGTTTGAACAATGTACTGAAAAAATTTTTGATTTTTTAAAATTTTTAAAATCTTTTTTTTAATTTCAAAAAATTTAATTTTTTGTCATTTCAGATTTATATGTAAATGAATTTTGGGAAGACCCAGCCTTGGCCTATGATTATATGAGGCCATGTAAAATGAATCTCTCATTTGATCATACCATGATGAATACTATTTGGATACCAAATACAGTATTTATTAATTCAAAAAGTGCACAAATTCACAGTTCTCCATTTCGAAATGTGTTTCTAATGATCTTCCCGAACGGGTCAATTTGGAGCTGTTGGAGGATAAAAAGTAGAGGTCCTTGTTTGTTGGACCTTTATCAGGTAACGTGTCTTGGCCTTAGCTCAAGGTCTGAGTTTGACCTAGGCTCTGGCTCTAGCTCTGGCTCTGGCTCTGGCTCTGGCTCTGGCTCTGGCTCTGGCTCTGGCTCTCACTCTCACTCTCACTCTGACTCTGGCTCTAGCTCTAGCTCTAGCTCTAGCTCTAGCTCTAGCTCTAGCTCTAGCTCTAGCTCTAGCTCTAGTTCTAGCTCTAGCTCTAGCTCTAGCTCTGGCTCTGGCTTTGGCTCTGGCTCTAGCTCTCTCTAGCTTTAACTCTATTTCTAGCTTTTGGTTTGGCCTTGGCCCTGGTCTTGGTTTTGGCTGTGGGGTTGTTTTGTTAATAACTTTGGCTGTGGCCTTTAATCCTAAGACGGGCCCTGTTCTTGCACTTGGCCTTGGCTCCAGCTTAGGGTTGGACATTTACCGGTAAATTGATTTTTCGGTAAAAATTTTACCGGTTTTTACCGGTTATTACCGGTAAATTTGCCGGATTATTATTTGGTATTTAAAAACTTAAAAATGTCATTAAAACGTTCAATAAGCCTTGTAAAACAACAAAAACAATAAAATAGTAAGTATTTCATGTCAATTTTAACCACAACGCAAAGTATGGCATGAATTTTCAATTTTAGTAAACTACAATCTCTTTATCTTCATCATCTTCTCTAATCTCTTCTTCAGATTCATCAGAACTAACTTCATATTGAATTTTCTACCGTCAACACGTAACTGGCGCTCGTTGAAGTTAATAAATGTATTCCTGTGAGCGTTTGATGCTGTCAATCTGTTCGTTGTTTTGTTATGATTCCTGCCGCGGGTAGACCATCTCTCAATACTAGCTGAGTTGCTGGCAGAAGATGTTGGTACAGTCTTGTAAGGTTACTGACTTATTTTGCATCACAATAATTGCAAAAGTAGTCATTATGTGTTCTTTTGTAACAGACTTTGATATTTTTAAACATATTTCGTCAAAATATTGCTAATTTTCCGAAACAAAAACAAATTTTAAAACAAAAGTCGTTTTCGTGCTAGGACACAAAACACTTTTTTACCGGTAAAAAACCGAAAGTTTCGGTAGAATACCGGTAAAATTACCGGTAAATTTACCAGTAAATTTACATTTACCGGTAAATGTCCAACCCTACTCCAGCTTCAATCCCAGATCCACCTTTAGCCTTAGCCTCACTCTAACCCCAGCCCAGCGCCTAAAACGCAAAGCCGTAGCCGTAGCTTTGTATTTACTAGTACATTACTTGTATGATGCCTTATATCAATATTTTAAAAAATTTATATCTAAGTCATTATTTTCAGTTTCCAATGGACAAAATGACTTGTTTTTTGACATTTGAAAGTTACAATTACAATAGGAATTTGGTGAGAATGACGTGGAATAATCCATCATCAGTACTGTTATATAAAGATATTGAACTGCCTGACTTTTCACTTACGAATTTCACTTGGGATGTTGTGCAGAAGGTAGGCTTATTAGTATTTTAAATACTATGTATGTAGGTTTATATACTGAAATATTGTCATTTTTAAGTAAAATAACTGTAAATTTGTGTTGCGCAGCCTGGAGGTGACAAGTTATACGCTGAAAAAATTTTCTGAAATTCGTTGATTTGTAAAGAAAATTCTTGCTATTTTTAGCTTTGTAAAGAAAGTTCTTGCCATTTTTTGTTTTGTAAACAAAGTTTTTGTTTAGGAATATGCAGCGGGTGTTTGGGATGAGTTATCAGTTCATTTTGCTTTTAAACGTCGATATGGTTGGTACCTACTTCAAGGTTATATACCTACGTATCTTACTATATTCATCTCATGGATTCCGTTTTATCTTGGACCGAGGGCTATACCTGCTAGGACTATGATTGGAGTGGTGAGTTAAATTTTATTTTTTTGGTTTTTGAAAAGTACGGTATACCAAAAATTGTAAAATAAAAAGTTACTGTACTGTAAGAGTCATTTATTACATATAGTATGACGTTATAATAACTAAAAGGCTATTAATTAATACTACAGTAACTCCTGAGCAGTAATGTAAATCTACAGTAAACTAAAGCCTTATTTTACAATATTACAGTATCCAACCAGCTAAATTACGGTATTTTCAGAACGCCCTCTTAGCCATGACATTTCAATTTGGAAATGTGATCCGTAACTTACCGAGAGTAAATTACATTAAAGTAATCGATTGGTGGGTACTATCGGGTATGTCTTTCGTGTTCGGTTCCTTGATTGAACTGGCTGTGATTGGCTTTAAAATGAGAAATGAAGGAAACAGCTTGAAGATCAAGGATTTAAGCAAGAAGAGGAAGGTAGGCTAAACTATAATAATGTACTATTTTTACTATGTATAATAGGCTTGAGGCAATTAAATTTTATAAGATGGCAAAACAATATGAAATCAACGTATTTTACACCAGTTTTTGCCATTTTTTGTTTTGTAAAGAAAGTTCGTGCAATTTTTTAGTTTGTAAAGAAAGTTCTTGCCATTTTGTTTTGTAAAGAAAGTTCTTGCTATTGTATGCTTTGTAAAGCAAGTTATCGCCATTTTGTTTTGTAAAGAAAGTTTTTGCTATTTTTTGTTTTGGAAAAAAAGTTCTTGCCATTTTATGTTTTGTAAAGAAATTTTTTGCCATTTCTTATGTTGTAAAGAAAGTTTTGTCATTTTCGGTTTTTTAAAGAAAGTTTTGTCATTTTTCGTTTTGTAAAGAAAGTTCTTGCGATTTTCTTTAATTTTTTTTGCAACGCGATTTAACCATACAAACGTTCAATAATGACGAACTATGAAAATTACCGTATTTTACATTTTTCAGTTCAAGAAGAAAACAGAAGCTGTGATTAACTGCGAACGCTTGGATTTGATGTCACGATACCTGTTTCCACGTAAGTTTTATGAAATTAAACCTCTTTTCTTCGTATTTTACAAAATACTATCAGTATTTCTAATTTTTTTTAATTTTTAAAATTTTTAAATATGAATTTCTAGTTATGTTCACCCTGTTCAACCTTGTATATTGGGGCCGGATGATTATCAACAATGAGTTTTAGGACTTCAAAACTTCAAAATCTTCTAAGAATGCTTGCTAATATAATACTATATTATTATGTTAATTGTTACATGTTTACCTCTGTACAGTGCCTTTCATTTCACTGCAATAAATTTTAAAAACATGGGGGAGATAACTGAAGGTGCCATATGGCTTATCTTTTTTGATTATAGACGTTGTTTTAGTTATTATAAGCTCTTTGTATTGCACTTTAGAGTGTTACAGCGTTAACAGAATAACAAATATTCATACCAAAACTAAAACAAAGCCAATACAGAGTAAATTTCCTAAAAATTTGATTTTTCAGGTAAAAAATCATGATAGGTCTATATGTAATCGAGGTTAACAGTCTATAGAATAAGGTTTTGTGTACCAAACAACAAAAAAAAATTTTTTTTATTGATAGCTTTTTGCTGTTTCTTGTTTTGTAAAGAAAGTTCTTGTCGTTTTTCAAAAACAACTTTTTTGTTATTTTTTTGTTGTAAAGAAAGTTTTTGCCAATTGTAGCTTTGTAAAAAAATTTTTGACATTTGCTGTTTGGTAAAGAAAGTTATTGTCATTTTATGTTTTTAAAGAAAGTTCTTGCCATTTTATAACTTGTAAGAAAAGTTCTTGCCATTTTTCATTTTTTAAACAAAGTTCTTGCCAATTTAATATTTGTAAAGAAAGTTCTTGCTATTTTTGGTTTTGTAAAGAAAGTTGTTGCCATTTTATGTTTTGTAAAGAAAGTTCCTGCCATTTTTTAAAAAAAGTTCTTGCTACTTTGGTATTTGTAAAGAAAGTTGTTGCCATTTTTTGTTTTGTAAAGAAAGTTATGCTATTTTTTTAAATAGAACGAACTCCTTCAATTCGTAAAAAAATTAAAGAAATGCTATTTTTCAACTCATAAATGCCATTTTAATAATCTACCGAATCCGGAAAATGAAAAGCGAATAACAATAAGAGAGATGACTAACTTATGATCCGATAAGAGACAAGTTTACCCAAGCATAGACAATATCAGCGCCAAATCTCGACGAATTTGAAAAATTCAAAAGTGAAAGCCATTCCAAAATGTTTTTAATGTGAACGTTTTGCGCAAAAACTGGAACGATGACTATAAAAATGTTCATCCGGTGTTCACTTATGGCTTTTTTAATTTTAATATTTTTTTTCAAAATTATGACATGAATTATCAAAAACTGTTTTTTGAAGTGTTGTAAAAAAAGTTTTTGCCATTTTTTGCTTTGTAACGAAAGTTCTTGCCATTTGTTGCCTTGCAAAGAAAGTTATTGCAATTTAACGTCTTGTAAAGAAAGTTTTTGGCGTTCTTATAAAATATAACTAACTTTTGTGTTGCGCAGGCTGCTTGTGACATATTATACAATAAATTTTTTTCTTTTTCTTTTTTGGAAACAAAGTTTTTGCTATTTTTTAGGGAGTAAAGGAAGTTTTTGTCATTTTTTGTTTTGTAAAGAAAGTTTTTGTCATTTCATTTTTTGTGAAGGATGTTCTTTTCATTTTATGTGTTGTAAAGAAAGTTCTTGCCATTTTTATTAAATCTAACTAACTTTTGTCTTATGTAGGCTGCGGGTGACAAGTTATACGATAAACAAAACTTTCGTAAAATTTTGCGCATTGAACATCTTGCAGTTATATGCTATGTAAAGAAAGTTCATGCCATTTTTTATTCTGTAAAAAAAGTTCTTGCTATTTTTTATTCTGTAAAGAAAGTTCTTGCCTTTTTTCATGTTGTAAAGAAAGTTATTGTAATTTTTCTACTCGTAAAGAAAGTTCTTGCTATTTTTCCGTTTGTAAAAAAAGTTTTTGCTTTTTTTTATGTTGCAAAAAAAATTCTTGCTATTTTATGTTTTGTAAAGAAAGTTCTTACCATTCTAATAACCGCGCTACTTCCTCTTCTTAACTCACTGCGAAATCTGTGAAAACCGAAGGTATTTCAAGTATTTTCCGCGATTTTCAAATAAAAAATAAAAGTTTAAAAACGACAAATTAAGAGGGAAAGGAACGACATGAAGATCTCCGTCGCAATTTCAAGTGGTGCATCAAAAAAATAACGCCACAAGCGCTACAAAACATTGCGGTTATATGCCAACAAATAAAGATTTTCTCAAGTTTTTCGAAATTTTTGTTGGGAGGGGGGATTTACGTCATTCTTTTTATTTTTTTTGAAAAATTTTTGGTTTTATGGCATTTTTAAATATTTTTTTATATTGTAGGCAGGGCGGTAATTTTGTGTTTTTTTTGTGAGGTAGGAGAAGAAGACGGGGGAGGAGAAGCTGACACTTGCCTTTGCCTTGCTTTTCTCTATCATACCGTTTTATTTTTTGCTCTATCCTTCCCTACCGTAACCCACTCTACCTAGCTTTGCTTTATCTTACTCTGCTTTACCCCACCTTGCTTTATCTTACTATCTTATGCTTGTTGTTGACTTTTTATACCCAAGCTATCCCTAAAATACCTCTTTCTTCCAGTATTACTACAGTTCTACTGTTAGCCTAGTCTTGTTCCAACCTACTTCAACATTTTCTAGCTTTAATACATTTTTAATCTAGTCATAACGCTGTTTTATCTTTTTTTATCTTTTCTTTATTTTTTTTTATTTTTCTTTTTAATTTAGCCATAGCTTTATTTTACGTTACTTTATTCTACTATAGTACTAATCTCTCATTTCTGTTTCTATAAAAATTTACTAAACCTTCATAAAACTTATCAAGTTGTTCAAATAATTCTGTGCCCTTTTTAAAACAAATTTGCAGGGTTAGAAAGCACAGAATTATTTGAACAACGAATATTTTTTTAAATGTTTTATAAAACTCATTACTGCTCTGTAAACCCATTAATACTCTTCAAACTCATTAATTTTACTCTGTAAAACTCATGCAATAAATGGAATTCGAACCATGTTTTCATAAATCGTTTCGAAAACGAATGATTTCCGGATGAAATTGATCCGATTGGCGGCAAATTCGTTTTTTACATAAGCAAATTGTTTGAATAGATGACCCTTTCAAGGGTTGGTGGCGATTTATTTATCGTGGTTCGAAGCGATGACAAATTGTTGATTGCCTCTTTTCGAGTATCTTACATTCGAACAATAACAAGAACGGTAGCTAATTTGTTTTTACGCATTTTCGGCGGTTTTTGCAATGGGAAGGGGTATTAAACCAACTCGAAGCGGTTGGGAGTGGGGGAGAAGGCAGAAGTTGCTTTGTAAAGAAAGTTTTAAAGTTAAAAAAAAATTTAAATTAGAAAAAAAAGGTTTTGCAGGATAAGCATTAGGCAAAAGAAATGGTAGTATAAAGCTGGGGTAAAGGGTAAGTGTAGAGTAAGACAGGACTATAGCAAAGCTAGGGTAGAGCTAGAATAGTGGGAAGACTGAGGTAGAGCTGGTTTTGGCTAGAATAAGGCTAGAGTAGGCTAGGGCTAAAACTATAGAAAAGCTTATATAAGACTAGAAGCTGAGGAAAGACTAAAGTAAGGTTGTGTCTTTTTAAAATAAGATGGACTAGTGGGATACGGAGAACAGGTAGGGCTAGGGCAAGGTAAAGGTTTGCTGAGGTAGACTTAAAGCACTGCTAGGTCTAGGGGCAGGGCAAATGCAAGGCAGACGCGGGTATTTTAGAATAAATTTAAAGAATTGCTAGGGCTGAGGTTAAGACCAAGACTAGAGCTATGTTTTTAAGGATTTAGAGCTCTCAGCTAAAAATCAGTGCTAGGGCTCTAGACTAGGTCTCTGGGCTAATGTTCTGGACTAGGGCTCTGAACAAGGGTTGGAACTACGGCTCTGAGCTAGGGCCCTGGGCTGAGGCTCTGCGCTAGGTTTCTAAGCTAGGGCTTTGGACTAGGACTCTGGGCTAGGGTTCTCGGCTAAGGCTCTGGGCTAGGGCTCTGGGCTAGGGTTCTGGGGTAAGGCTCTGGGTTAGGGCTCTGGTCTAGGGCTCTGGGCTAAGCTAGTCAAATCGAAAGTCAACAGTTCATGTTTTTAACTAGCCCACTTCCTCAATAAACAGCATAGTAACAGCGTCCCGGGCGATTAAAACCCTAGCTTTTTTGCGATTTTATTGTATGCGAAACATGAATCAAGTGAATGTCATTGTTTGATGCCAACAAAAAATAGTTTGGAAAGTGAAAATGGATTAAACACCGTAGGCGATCGAATTTTGCTTTTAAAATCGACAAGTTTTAGCGAGATTCACGAGGAGTTTAAGCAAGTCTTAACCGGTCGATCGTTAGGGTTGTTAAATTTAGATGGGGGGGGGGCTTGTTTTAAGGGGGAAGAGGGGGGGGGGAAGTTAACGGTAAGTAAAAGAAGATATAGAGGGAAGGAGAGGAGTCAGGGTGGAGAAAAGGAAAAGGGGGTGTTTTTTTTTCAAATTTTACAATTTTGAACTTGAATTTCCTGATTTTTTTACAATTTTTACAATTCTTTACGACATGCCGTTTTTAAATTAACGTGTTTTTACGTTCAGTTCTGTATAGAGTACAGAATGGCATGCTTTGTACGCATGTTTTTTGAAAATATTCTTTTGTTTTAACAAACTGGGTGCTACGTTTTACTACGAATGATACTGTATTTACTAAACTTTTATGTTTTGTAAAGGAAGTTTTTGACATTTTTTTGTTTTTAAAGAAAGTTTTTGCTATTTTTTATTTTGTAATGAAAGTCCTTGCCCTTTTTTCTTTTGTAAAGGAGGATCCTGCCAATTTTTGCTTTGTAAACAAAGTTTTTGCCAATTTTAAATAAAACATAAAAAATGTTATTCTCTGCAGCTTGCAAGACACAAGTTATATGACGAAAACATTTTTTGGCTTATAGGCTTTTTCTTGAAGTTTTTTAACTATTTAAAGAAAGTTTTTGCAATTTTGTGTTTTGTAAAGAAAGTTCTTGCCGTTTTTTCTTTTGTGAAGAAAATTTTTGCTTTTTTTTGTTTTGTAAAGAAAGTTCTTGCCGTTTTTTCTTTTGTAAAGAATGTTTTTGCAATTTTTTGCTTTATAAGGGAAATTATTGCTATTCCCATAACACATCGCACGCACCATGTATTTTCTATAAATTGCAACCAGCGGATGACAAGTTATATGATAAATTTTTTTTGCGTTTTTTCGTAAAATTTAAAAATTTTGAGTTTTAAAAACATTTATTGTACGTGATTAAAAAATGTATTTCAAAATTAAAAAATATTTTTAATTTTTAATTTTCAGCTCACTATGATTTCAAAAATAGCCAGGACATTATTAATATCGTGTCTATCCATCACCTCACTACAATCACAAATAATCAGCACATTAAACAATCAGCCAACCCGATTAGACCTTCTTAACATTGAAACAGAAGTCAAAGCGACGACAGCAATGCCAAAATTGTTACCTAATCTACTAGAAGAGGTCGGTCGAGACCCTAGAGAGTATTTTAGTGATGAACCTAAGACTGATTTTCATAAAGTGGCAGTGGAAAAGGAGGATAAACAGCCGGCAAGGGGGTCACCGATTGTTGTAGTTGATAACAGTGATAACGAAGATCTGAAGGCTTTGTTGGAAGGTGTCAATACTGGTGTGGATGAATGGTGGAAGGCGGCTGATGGTGAGATTTTAAAAGATTATTTTTGACGTGGAAAGAAAGTTTTCGCAATTTTTTGTTTTGTAAAGAAAGTTCTTGCCGTATTTTATTTTGTAAAGAAAGTTCTTGCTATTTTTTGCTTTGTAAAGAAAGTTCTTGCCATATTTTGTTTTGTAAAGAAAGTTCTTGACATTTTATGTTTTGTAAAGAAAATTCTAGCCATTTTTAGTTAGTAAAGAAAGTTCTTGACGTTTTATGTTTTGTAAAGAAAGTTTTGCCGTTTTTTAATTTGTAAACAAAGTTCTTGCCATTTAAATTTTTTTTAGAATTTTCAGAAAAACTTCCGACCGCCGACTCAATCGACCCAAAACCTTCAGAGTACCGTGGTGAACTCGAAGTCGTAGACAACGATGACAATGATGATGACGTTAAGATTCGGATGAGTCCAAGAAGGCCAAACTCAGCACAATTACCATCAGAAGACCTGTCAATGGGCGGTGGATCATATTCTGAAACGGCCAATGAAAGACCTCTGATTAATTTTGACAGTTCGTCGGAAGAAGAGCTGCTACAACGTGGAGTGTTGAGATACGATCCAACTATTGCTAAGATCTATTGGAATGAAGCTCAGAAGAGTGATGGACCTAGGCTGAACAAGGGACCTAGTTTTGCTACAGTACCTGGGAGGTTCGAGAGCATCAAGGCCAAGGCTTATGAACAAGGTGGGTGTGGGCAATATATTTCGAAATTTTGTAAGATTAAGCTTTCTAAATGTTACGAAATTTGGTATATATAGGCTTAAGATACTAAGGAACAGGTTTGTAATTGTAAAGTCTTTGATCTGATTGCTGTAACATACTAAAAATAATTTTTTTTAAGAATTGTAAAATACGTCACTTGAATTTTTTGATGGAATATGCCACTTTAAATTATTATTATGTTAAAACTAATGGTTTAAACTACTTAACAATACAATATCTAGGTTACAAAGAATGAGAAATTTCTTTCTAAACGTACGTTTTTTGATTGGGTTACTGTAACATATCAAAACTAAAATTTTTGATTAAATATGCCATTTTAAATCATCACTACGTAAAAAGTAATGGCTTAAAGTATTTGAAAATAACAAAATAGAAGCTTTTGGTTGTGACAAACATTTTTGTAATTGTACATTTTGTTATTGGGTTACTATAACATGGCAAAACTAAATTTCTTGTGAAATAGGCCTTTCTAAGTTTTCACTACGTAAAAACTAACAACTTGATCTACTTGAAATAAAAAATACATGTTTTAGGTTATGGCGAACGTTTTTGTAATTGTAAATTTTTTGGTTGGATTACTGTAACATAAAAAATTAAAATTTGTTGTGAAATAGGCCATTTTAAGTTATTACCACGCTAAAAATAGCAGTTAAAATGAGCTGAAACTTTAAAATTAGGGACTTTCAACTATGAGAAACATTTTTGTTTTACGAAATCTTTTTATAAGATTACTGTATCATGACAAAAATTGAAATTAACTTTAAATTGATATTTTCAAAGAAAATGAAGTCATGATTTTCAACTTTTCAAACCTAAAATTTCAGCCGCAAAAGACTCTCCAGAAGTCCATCACGACAACTTTGATCGTCTTCGACCGTTCCGTACTCGTGCTGCCGCGGTACCAGTGTTCGTGCCTACCAAGGATAAATCATCAGCTCATGTAGCATCTGAATCGCTCAAGTTAAGTCCAGAAGAAGAGATAATCAACAAGGAGATCAATGCTTTGAAGGCTTCGATTGATAAGCACCAAGAAGAGTTGGATCAAATGGAAGATTCTGGGAAAACTTCTGGATTGGATGGTGATTCTGGTGCTGCAGGAGGATCTGGAGTGAATTCTGGGGCTGACAGGCATGGTAAATTTAGTTCTGTAGCAAATCCTGGAGCCAATTCTGAAGGAACTCAAGAAGCAAAAGCTACATTAGCTACTGAAGTCAAGTCCTCAGTAGAATCCGACATCATTTCAGCGTTAGAAAGCCTACAATCAGACGCGAAAGTGAAGCAAAGTGGAAGTTCAAGCACACACTCAGGAGGATCTAAACCCTTATCAACCTTCATTGATAAAGAAAGCGATAGATTCTTTAATGATGACGATAGTGATGAAGAACTGAAGGACAGAATTGATGCTCATGGCCATGAAATTCGAAAACCATTGAAGATCCAACGTCTAACTTCAGAATTGAAGGCTAAGAAGCAGAGAATTGATGACGATACTAATGCTGATGATGCTGAATATCCTACAGAGCTTAGAGAACTGCCGGATGTTTCTAGGTTTACAGAGAATGAAGGTGAAGGTCAAGGTTTGAAGGCTCACAGTTTGGATTCAAAGCTACAGAATGGAAGGTTGGGCTTAAGGAATCAGAATTCAAGACCTGAGGGCCAAAGTCAGAAACCAGAGAATGACAACTCAAAACCTCAACTCCAGCCAAGAATGGAAATCCAAACTTCTCAGCTAAGCCTAGGCCAAGAAGGGCTAAGCCAACCACCACAGAACGGTGAGAACGTTCAAGAAGCCATCATTGAAACGATCAGAACAACTGTTCCGCCTAGGTTTGAGTCAGTAGCTGCTCCGGGTGTAGCTGGAGGTCTAGGTGGTGGTCTTGGTGGAGCTGCTGCACCTAGATTTCCTGGTTTGCAAGGTATGTATAGTTTGTAAGGTTTTGATATACAGTCAAACCTCTTTAGTACGAAGGCAAGATAAAAATTAATGTAGTGAGGGCTAGGCTTAGGACAGCGGCAGTTGTTATGACTAAAGCTAATGCTAGGGCAAACAATTAGAATATCGCTGGTGTTGGCGCTAGGGCTAGGACCTTCGGAATCGAGGGTTTTAACGTTTGGCTAAAGTAAGGAAAATGTTAAGATAGAGCCTGCTGAGGCAAGAGCTAAAACTACCGCTAGGACTGTGAGAAGGTCTAAGGCGCTCAGGCCTTAAAGGTGAAGGGCTTTAGGACTACGGTTAGAACTAGGGCTCTGACTCTTTCAGCATCAAGAGCTTTAAGGCTAGGACTCTGGGCTAGATCTCTAGGCTAGGGCTCTGGCCTAAGGCTCTTGGCTAGGGATGTGGACTAAGAATTTGGACTAGGACTCTAGGCTAGGGCTCTGGGCTAGGGCTTTAGTCTAGGGCTTTGGACCAAGGCTCTGGATTAAGGCTCTGGGCTAGGGCCCTGGGCTAAGACTCTGGACTAGGGCTCTGGGCTAGGGCTCTGGACTAAAATTAACTAACTATGATATGTTGTAAACCCTCCCTTCACTTTCAGTCCCACCCCTACCAAACCCTACAAATCCTCGATTCTTCCAACCTTCAGTCGCCCCTCTGAACCTATTTCCATCTCAATCAGCATCAGCGGTCAGAATTGATCAAAATGGCAATCCAATAACACATTTGGACAACTTTCCATTGAGAAACGACGCTGGCTTCCAACAAATCTACAACAACTTCAGGAACATGTTCATGAACTCGCCTGGTGACAAATCTGATACCACTATATACGACTTTACTAATGATCCACATCATATTGTTTAATCGTACTGTGTAGTACGAGTCGTGCTGTATAGTACGAATTACGTGTCAATATGAACATACTACTAGTACTAGAACAGCCAAGAATACTATATTAGTGATATAGTACTAAAACTTTTAACGGTACTGCATGCGTGCTAAATAGTACGTTTTTAGTGTTTAGTAATATCTTTTTTAGTACTGGATAGTACTTTCTTAGTGCTATTCTCAAGTTGATAAATAGTACTTATTCCGTACTATGATAGTACTAAATAGTACCATTTTATCAAAAGTGCTTTCAATTGTTAAATATTTATATCAAAGTACCGTACTGTACATTTTACAGTATGATACTCACCCCCCCCTCTTAACTGTACTGTACCAATCATATCACGTTAAGCCTAAAACCAAAGCCTAATTGATGTTAATATTTATTGTGTTTGTAAATAAATATTTATTATTACCATTGTAATGTATATATAGTAATGTATAATAATAGAGACAATGTAAAATAATTGTAAGAGTAGGCACCGATTCATAAATATAGGTATCAGAGGGTGATTATGATGACTTCAATAGCTTTATTTGAGCTCCAAGGCCATAGAGCTCTAAGGCCTTGTGACTCAAAAGCTTTTTTAGGTTGTTCACATAATTCTGTGCTCATAACCCCCAAACATTTACTTTGTAAGAGAGCACAGAATTAATTAAACAACCTGATAACAAAAAATTTTATTAGATTTAAATGTTCAAAAAATCCTGAGCTATTTCACCCCGAAAATTTGCTGTGAAAGTGGCTCATATTTAATTGAACAACCTATCATTATATAATAACAAAGCTATATATTAAGTGAGAAAATATAGTCTAAAAATGTCGTATATAGTATGATTATATCATATTAAATTTTAAAAAAAATATTTTTTACTTTAGATTATATTATTATATTGTAGTAGATACCATGACTAACGTTTTAAAGTTAAAATAAGGTTGAGAAGCCACTATATAATTGATTGAAAAGCACTTTTTAAAGGCAAACAACTTAAAATGACAGTTATATTGTACTAGTAGGTTGAAGGTGAGAAAAAGGTGGGTTTTTGGTCAATAGGGTGAGGCTTTAGATTAGAGCCAAAGCTCTGGGCTAGTAAAAAAGTTTGTAGAAATTCGAAAAAAAACCATTTTACAAAAAATTTTCGTTATATTAGTTTGTTCAAATAATTCTGAACCCCCTTAACCCGAATATTTGCTTTGAGATAGGGCACAAAATTATTTGAACAACCAATTAGTAACGGTTTTCAATTGTTTTTTTTCGAAACTGACAGAATATAAGCAGGCTTAGGGGTCCAAGGCAAAACCATTGAGTATTTTTACCTCACCCCCTTCTCAAAAAAAATTTTTTACCGTCCCCCACCCAAAAAAAATTTTTTTTCACTCCCTCCTTTTTAAACAACCCCCCGCCGAAAAAAAAATTTTTATACCCCACCCCCCCCGAATAAAAAACTAAAAAAAATTTTTATTCCCCCTCCTTAAAAAAATTATTAACCCATCCCCCCCATCTCCTGTCCAAAAAAATATTTACCCCTCCCCCCCCACCTCCTACCCAAAAAAAATTTTTTCTTCATCTCCTCCCTTAAAACCTCATTTTACCCTTCCTATGTCACTTCCTCATTGGATATTATCCTAAACATCAGCTTAAACGTTTTCCGTCGATTCAAATAGTAAATCTCCTTCGCCTCGGCCAATGTCATATCACTAGGAAGCGGTCGAAAAGGATACTCAATAGCAATCATTTGGTTCGGTAATCGAAATCGATCATGAATACTATCGTCTTCATCGTCATCGTCCACACTACTCAGCTCGTTTTCGTGGTAAATCTTGGCTGTAGATGGGAGTTGACAAGGTGAATAGTCGGGTTGGTCAAATATTATGGGGGTGAACTGGACTAGAATGTCATTTAGGCGTGGTGAAGAGGCTTTGGATTCCATTTTCGTTCGAATTTTTATGAATTCTGATAGATGGGCTACTGAAAATGACGTTGTTTGATACCGATTTGTCATAAAAACTAAAGTTTTGCAGGCTGCGGGTGACATGTTATACGGTAAATCACATATTGTGTTTTGTAAAGAAAGTTCTTGCCATTTTCAGTTTTGTAAAGAAAGTCCTTGCCATTTTTAGCTTTGTAAAGAAAGTTCTTGCCATTTTCAGTTTTGTAAAGAAAGTTCTTGCCATTTTCATTTTTGTAAAGAAAGTTCTTGCCATTTTCAGTTTTGTAAAGAAAGTTCTTGCCATTTTTTGTCCTCTAAAGAAAGTTTTTGCCATTTTTAGCTTTGTAAAGAAAGTTCTTGCCATTTTTTGTCCTCTAAAGAAAGTTTTTGCCATTTTTAGCTTTGTAAAGAAAGTTCTTGCCATTTTCAGTTTTGTAAAGAAAGTTCTTGCCATTTTCATTTTTGTAAAGAAAGTTCTTGCCATTTTCAGTTTTGTAAAGAAAGTTCTTGCCATTTTTTGTCCTCTAAAGAAAGTTTTTGCCATTTTTAACTCCAAAACACCATTTTATAAACTTACTTGTCGTATCCCCACTAACCATGATGTATCGTACTCGATTCGCACTTTTAGGTAACCTCCTCACAGAAATATCTGGCCATAGGACTAATAGTACATCATTATCAATATCAGATGACTTTTTACGTTTAGGTGATAATATATCGTTACACTTCTCTTTATGTATACCATTTAACAAGGGTTTTGCACCGGTCTGAAAAAACTGTATAATATTGGAAGCGGTTTATATAGGAAAACTCATTATATTAGGTTAGCTTTGATGCTAGGGTTCTATTATAGTACTATAACTAAGACTAGAAACCTATTACTATGAATAGGGCTAGCCGCCAAGTACTATTATTAACGATAAGCTTCTAGTACTATGACTAAGGCTAGAACTTAGTACTATGAAAAAGGCTAAGGCTCTAATACTATGCCTATGGCTGTAGTACAATAAATAGTTCTAAAATTCCTGTACCGTAACTAAGGCTATATTACCATGAATAAGACTAGAGCTATAGTACTATCACTAGGACTGTGGTAATGGGATTAAAGTTAAGGGTCTAGTACAATGACTTGGGCTAGAATTATAGTACTATGACCAGGAGGAGGACTTTAGTACTATAACTAAAGCTAATGCTCTAGTACTACGACTAAGGCAAGAGTTCAAGTACAATAACTGAAGCTCTAGTACTATGACTAGGACTACGGCTCTAATGCTATAACCAAGACACTAGCTAGTGGAAAATAGAAACTTCTTGACCTTGTCTATAATCAGAGCCTACAATAATTTAATTGTTAAGCTCTACTGCAGTAGTGCACTAACAGTACTTACCAAAGAATTAACAATCCGTTGAAAAAGTTCGTCTTTTTCAAAATTCTCCACGCCATCAGCAGTCACCAACCATCGCGTACAAGATGGACACGTTCGATTGTGTGCCCGTCGATAACGATGCATACACGATTCACAGAATCGATGTGAACAAGTCTATAAAAAATATTTCTAGACGCTACAAAGTGTAGTTAAGTTACAGTAAGACGGAGATAAAAACAAAAAATACAGTAGGAGAGTAGGGTTAGGTAAAGGTAGGCGTGAAGGTACGGGTAGGGATAGGAGTGAGGGTAGGATGAAAGTAGGGCTCGCGCTAGGGCCGCACATATCAAACTCCATTTCAAGTCCTCCTAAAATTCGAAAAAAAACGAAAAATGCTTACTTTAACAACCACCGGATTAAAAAGTAGACCATCACATAAGTTACACTTTAACGCATCAATCGTGCATGTTGAGGTATCCGTGGGGCTTTTAAGCGCCGTTCCAGCATTCATTGAAGCTTTACATGAGTAGTGGTATATACATTACAAAATTTTAAAAAATTAAAAAATACCCTGAAAATGAAATTTTTAAATTTCAAAAAAATTTTAAATTTTAAAAATTAAAAAAATTTTTTTATTAAATCTCGTAAAGTAAAGACTTTAACACATTTTTACTACTTTAATGAGTTTAAAAATTAAGTTTAAAAGCAAAAAACCTCTTTTCAAACTTAAAAAATCTAAAAAATTTCAAAAAAATTACTTGCGAGTCCCCTTTAAATGTCAGTTTTAACCTTATATCAAATAAAAAATCCTTGATTTTCAATACAAAATTTCAAAATGAAACTCAGAAGCCCAAAAAATCACAAAAGTCAAGTTTTAAAAAGTGCAAAAATAATATAAAATTGAAAGAAAATGGAAATTTTAGCGATATTCGCGAGAAAAAAGCCCGAAACGCAAAACGCGCGTCGCGGAGAGAGCGCGGAAGAACGAGAGAACGCGCCGACAGCGAGGGTGTTCGAGTGTCCTTTAACGAAAAACCACACAAATGAACGGTGGTCAGAGGGCGGACAAGACACGTACAATCATGCTCAACATATCATCGTTTTTCGCTCGATTCAGCGCTACCGTACTACCTGGGTGGTTTCTTTTCTTGGTTTAAAGTTGCAGTAAAAAGTGGTTTGAATTTAAAATAGCTACAGTATACAATATAGTTTTTTGGGTAGCAAATTAAGACATAAGGTAAGGTAGAGTAAAGAAAGACAGAATAATGTAGGGCAATGTAGAGTAGGGCAGGGTAGGATAAGGTAGAGTAGAGTAAAGTAACGTTGAGTACGGTAGAGTGGAGTAAGCTAGAGGGGAAAAAGTAGGATTAGGTAGAGTAGGATAGGATAGAGTAAAACGCAATATGGTGAAGTAGGGCATTATAGGATACGATACGATAGGGTAAGGCAGATTAGGAAAGGGTAATGTAAAGAAAGATAAAGTAAGGCAAGGCAGATGATCCGAAAACCACAGTAATAAAAATAATGTTGGGTTCAAAAAGTTACAGTAAGAATAAGAATTTTAGCTTCAGATAGATACAGTAGAGAAAAAAAGTTACAGTAAGACAAAAAGCTTTATAGTTGTAACAGGAAGGTACGGTACAAAGAGTGATAGGGGTGTGAAAGTTTACAGAATGAATAAGTCATTATGAAAAAAGCTTTGTAAAATCAAAAAATTACAGTAAGAAAGTAGTTTTGCGCTCGAAAAGATACAGTAAGTAGAAAATTTTAATATCAACAACCCACAGTAAGAAAAGTATATTTTAGTGCCAATGGGCCTGTAAAATTTCAAAAGTTGTGTCGACCAGTCCAGCTCCGGCCCTAGTACCCTCCGTCTCAAGTCTAACTATTAATCGAATCAACTATCAAAACAGTCATATTATATAAACAACCCAAAGAGCTTAAGTTAAAAGTTTATTACAAAAACAAATCTTAACAAAACCCTACTTTTATTAAATTAATAGTCTTAACAATAATTCTTACCGTATTCTTTCCAGCTCACTCAAATTACAGTAAGCCTTCCAGGATTACGGTAAAAAGCAAACACTTAGCAACAAAAAAGACTACAAATTAGAGTTTTACATTAAAAGGAGTTTATAAAATAAATTGAAATTAGGTGAAAATGGCATTTCCAAGTAACTTCTAACAACAACAACTAAAAAAGACTTAACAATACGCTATAAATAATCTATTTTAACAAGAAATGGCAGTCAAAATCCAACAATCTAACAAAAAGGTGGGTCATCAGAGCAAGGAAAATATAAAATAATGTCACAAAAATCATACTAGTTGGTCAAAAAGTTCGTAGAAAAGTCAAACATTGAGAAAACAATCTCTCAACGAACGTATTTTACAAAATTTAAATTTTTGGGTATAAAATAGAATTCTAACAACTTTTCGGCCAAACCAGTATAAAATAATAAAGAAAAAACGACTTGTTTACAACAAAAAGATCAAAGACAATGTTTACAATAACAAAACACAACAATAATATTGGCCGGCAATAAATAAAACGAACTGTCACAAAGTCGGAAAAATTGGTCTGTTATGTGCATAAAATAAGTCATCATGACAAATTTTTTGTAAAAAAAAACCATTATAATCAATTTTTTAATAATAATGTCATCATGAAAAAAATCCAAAAAACAAGTCACTGTGACATATTTTCCAGAAAATAAGTCATCATGACACATTTTCCAAAAAAATAAGTCATCATGACATAAGTTCTCCAAAAATTAATCATCATTACAACTTTTTCCAAAAAATCCATCATAATGACTTATTTCCCTCAAAAACAAGTCATTATAACCTCAGATACCCCGAACATGACCTCAAAATCCGATTCCGATGACCTTGTGCATAACAAAACGTAACGATCCCAACAAAATTCAAAAGAGAAACAACAACAAAAAGTCGCATAATAAAGCAACAACAGTGTACAGAAATAGGTCCAATTCCCTTAATCATTGAAAACCCAGCTTCCGATGACAAATCATACTCGTTCCACATCACAAGCTAACCATAATCCAAAAAAAAATGCTTCACAATCTTCACCATAGCACCAAAAATAAACAGTAGACCCCATGAAGTTCCGAAAATCAATAGTAGACTCCATCAAGCTCAAAAAATCCACGAAAAAACGCTCCAGAAATCACCAAAACTCCACAAACTCCATGTAAAACAACAGTTATCCACCAAAGTAAAGTGCCATTCTACAATGAAGAAACAGATTCATCCAAAGCTCGATCCAGTTTCTTTGTGGTGAATCGGTAGAGGTAGAGACGGTAGTCTTTCGAAGCCAGTACGATCGTGTTCCCATCCAGAAGGCAGACGTCAAAACATTGAGCGTGTTTGACGCGGCTTTCCATCGCTGAGATCAGCTCGCCATTCTGAAAAAAACATAAAATTATCCAAAAATTAAATTTTAATAAACCACATAAAGCCCTAACAACTTTCCCCGATACCCTACCTTCTTTCCCTCACCCTACTCTCCTTCCCCCTCCTTACCTGATTAAAGACAGTCAAGTTGAAGTTGTTGTGATTGTCGGCCACAACAATTTCTCCGTTGGCAGTGATGCCCATTCCGATTGGGTAGTTGGTGATGCCTTCACCGCCAATTTGATGCAAGAACTGGCCATTGTAATTGAAGACCTTGATGCAGTGGGCACGGTTATCCGAGATGAAGAGCTGATCCTTGTCATTCGTTGCCACGGCGTTCGGGAATTCGAGGTAACGTGAGCAGAGGAATTTGTGGAGGATGTTGCCGTAGGTGTCGAAAATGATCACACGCATGACCTAGAAATTTTAAAATGTTTCTAAAAATTCTTATTTTCATAAACATTTAAAATTTAAAAAAAGTAAAAATATAAAAAATCAAATCCACCCTGAAATTTACCACACCCAAAAAATTAAAAAATTGCTTATTTTTAATTGAACTTGCTTCTTTGTGAATTTTTTTAAAAAAATCCACCCCCAACAATTTTTAAAAAAATTTCCCCCCCCAAAAATTTTTTTTCTGAAATTTAAAACGTAAATCCCACCTGTAGTCTAAAATTTCCAAAAAATTAAAAAAAAATTCAAAATTTCAAAAACCACCCCCTAATAATAAACCAAAAACCCCCTACCTTGCACTCCACAACCACGATTCTTCCACGGTAATCCACACAAACTCCTCTTGGGTGCTGAAGAATATTGGCTCCAAATTTCCTCAAAAAGTGTCCATACTGATTGAAAACCTGAATCTGGTGTGTCGGGGATCTCTCAGTCACGATGAACTCTCCAGTCAGTTTGTTGACGGCTACACGATTCGGGTACAGAAGTTGGCCATCTCTTTTGCCGCACTCGCCGAACATGAACTTGAAGTTGCCGTCTCGGTCAAAGACTTGGATACGATGATTGTTGGTGTCGGCTACGACAATTTCGTCTTGGGCGGTTACTGCCACGCCCGAAGGCTCGGTGAATTGGCCTTGTTGGATTCCGAACTCGCCAAACTTGTGGTAGTAAATCATGCGTTCTCTTCTTGCCGCTGATAAGGCTTTGGTGGCTCCGTAGACGCCCATGAGGCGGGCGTTGAGGTCTGTTTGGGAGGCTAAGGCTAAAAAATAACATTTTTAAAAATTAAAAAAAAAATTTTAATTGGAAAAAAAAAATTTTTACTTTTTTTAAATTACCACCCCCAAAACCTCCCCTACCCTATCATAACCACATCCAAAAAGCCCCTCTCCCCACCCACCTCCAGAATTGGATGACAAATCCAACATTGATGAGTAGCTCGACATTCCTCCTGCATTCGCTCTTCCACCATCCCTCTCCTCACTGTTCTCCATCAACCCACTGTTCCTCAGAGTATTGTCAATGTAAGTCAGGTTCTGAACTGAACTTGAAGTCAACTTGGACTGTAGAATAGGCAAAGCCGCATTGAAGTTGGAGTTGTTCCTTCCCAGCTGTTGACTCGAGTGAGTTCGTTGCAAATGTTGAGGTAGGAGAGCACCACTGGTTTGGGAATGGCAAGCATCTGCGTGATTCCAACTGTCAGGGCGTACACTCAAGCTCAGTGAGGTTAGAGCTTGAACGACTTGAGATAGTTCAAGTCGAGGTTGTTCGATTTCCATATTTCCGCTTAGGATCATCTCGGTTTCGGCGTTGAACGTGAGGAATCCTCGTAGACGTGCTTCCAATAGAGGTTTGAAGACGAGGACTTCAGTTGAGTGACCATATTTTAGTAGTCTTTCGGCAAATTTGACCGTTTCCGAGATCTTACCGGTCATTTTTTGGACTCCACGACTAATGTGGACGATCTGCTCCTGAAATAATTTGAATTAAGAGTAGGATATTAAGTTTACTGCTTATATTTTCAACTTAAAAAACGTACAATACAATACACAAGCTAATGCTTTAAGTTTTTTTTAGAACCTTAAAGCTGAATTTCCAAAAAAAACTGTTTTATATATTCATCATGACCTTATCGTAGGCTGGTCGACAAAATCAAGCCATTACATCAAAATTTAGCATAAATTCAATAACTTTTTCAATCAAAATCATCCCCAAGATCAATATCTTCCTTAAAATACCAATTTCAAAGTTTTCAACCCATCCAAAAACTCTTTACCTGTCGATTAACATAAGTAGCATCCAGATCCTTCTGAAGACAATCATTCGCATCCTGAATGACCTGAATCATCCTGTTCACAGCCTCCCTCAGCTTGGCATGAGCTTGATTCAAAGAGGTATTGACTCTTCGTTGAGTCGTTTCCACCTGTTGGAACGCCGTTCGTAACTCATCGTGCTTTACCAAGACTTCATCAATGAGGTTTCTGATTGAAGAAACTTGAGAATGAGCGGCATTCTCGATCAGTTCAAGCAAATGCATAGGTCTTGGGTGTTCTTTTAATGTGCATTCTTGACAAACAGCAAAGTTACAAGACAGACAATAATATTGTAGTGGGCGGTTGCGATGCTCAAGGCAGCTGCAGTTCTTCGTGTTCGCATCGTCTGGTTCGTAGGGGTCTAGCTGACCATCTGAAATCATAAAACACATTGTTTTAGGAATGTAAAAGCAAGAAAAGATCAAAAAAGCAAAGACAGCACCTTTAGAAACCAACCCCAAAGCCTTTAAAGACCAAAATCAAAGCCTAAAGTCACCAAAAACTCAAAAACGTACCCACGCTTTTCTCGTGCAGTTTCACAGCATTATTCAAAGCGTAATCAACCAGTAAACCAGAAACTCCAAGTTGTGAAAGCTGAGTCCTGCCGTTACATGAAGGACAGTTGACTCTGGACATTCCAGCTGCATGTTGTTCTAGACATTCCTTACAAAAGCTGTGAAAACAAGCCAGAACACGTGGGTCGATGTAGATTCTTTGGCACAAGCCACAGGCAAGTTCGGGTGGAGCTGAAATAGAATTTTTATAAACTTTTAAAAATTATATTATCCATGAGATAGACATGTTAAAAATTATTATAACTTCGTGTGTAACAGCCAGAAAACATCCAAATTGAGCTCAATAGGTTCAGTAATACCTAGTCCTTCTACTGAAATTCCTTTTGCTCAAAAATATTCCCGGTAAATATACAGGATCTAAAAGTTATATTATCCATAACTTGTGTGTACAAAATAGCTAATAAATACAAATTAAGCCCTAGCTTTACCTTTAAATTAACTTTAATACATCACATCCTATCTGTAACATTAACTAATATATAAATAACCTTGCTTTAACCTTGGTAACCCCTTCATTTGACCCGATATTATCCTACAACCATCAAAATATCCCAAAAAACCTACTTTGAGCCGCATCCACCGACAATTGACTCAACTGTGAAGAAAAGCTACAATTAGGTTTGTCCACACTCTTCGGCGTTCCCAACAAACTTCTAGGCAGCAGAGGATCATACAGCGAATCATAAGCGCTATCATCTCCACCATGAGCTCTGAAACTGTTCAGATGAACTTGTCGAGGCGATAGCAGCGGATCAATGCAAAATGGCTTCAGTTGAAGAGGCTCCAGATTCCGGGCACGCTGTTGAAGTGGAGTTGAGGTCTTAGGCGAGATCGTCATTGAAACGTCCATCAATATATTGCTATACACAAGGAAAAAAGTAAATGATTCCAAAACGCACAAAAAGTTTGTGCACTGTACAGTTGAACAGGGTTAGATGGAAATTCGAAACCCTGCAAAAGATGTATTATAATACTGTTATAATGGATTTGAGCTAAAATTTCAGTAAAACGTCAAAAGAAGAGAAAAATCGCGAGGAAATTGATGAATAAACAAGGTTTAAGCTTAAAAATAGCTCATAATGCCACTTTAAAATCGTACAACAATCTCAAACCATAATTGTAAAACTATAAGCAACATTTTAAGTCTCAAAAATCAGTCACAACATCAACTCTTTCACAATATTACACTTGCCCCAAATAAAACACGAATAAAACTAAAATAATAAATTCAAATAACACGAAACGCAATCGAATACATCTCCCAACTATAAAAAATATTATTCACAAAAAATCAAAACAAAAAACGGCCAAAAAACGCGCGAAGCATCAACCTTTCTGCTATATTATCCTTGCCCTCAACGTCCCCAAAAGAACTGATGAAATCAAAATCTGTTCTGTCCTCATGACCACAAAACAACACAAAACATAAAGTCGAATATCACAATAGAACATTCGATGTCATGATCATAATTTGAACGACTTCTCCCAACGGCAAACCGCCATTTTTTGAAAGACATCTGAAGTCCAAAATATCATTTGCAAGATGCCAAAGAGATCAAAGGAAAGACGAAATCGGCAAATAAAATCGTGTTCAAAATTTTCGAAAAACATGGCAAAAGTTCGTGGAGACGAATTTCCACGTTTCAGAAAAGTTTTTGCGAAGAAAACCCTCAAAACTCCTCGCATTCCTACCTAAAAACCTGAAAAACTCCTAAAAATAGCCACTACCAAGCCCCACCAACATGCAAAAGATGTCAGCCTTTATGAAGATGCAAAATAGCACGAATAAATTATGAAAAGATTTTGAGGTCAACATTAAATCGAGAACAATCCTAAAATACTGTATTTGCCAAAAAACAAAATTTTGTTTTTGAAGCTTCTAGCGTATAAGTCGACATGCGCGGCCTGCAGAGACCAAAGAAACAAGAGAGCGCAAGCTGCGTAAATAATATTTACGGAAAAATATTAAAATTGATATTATTTTTATGAAAGATAACAAATATTATCAGATTCTGTACGTAAACTATTAAAAATAAATTAAAATTTAGTTTAATATATAAAATTTGATTATTTTATTGATTTTTCCATTTGGTATTACTTATTTTGGCGTGTATTATTGTTTGTTTTGCGGTTCTTTGACTTATCTTATTGTTTTGAAGGTTGTTATTGGCTTCTTAACCTAGTTCTGTTTGTTATATGAAGCCGTAGTAGTAAATAAAGGATCATGGAAGACGATAATGCATTGGATATTGTCAAATGGTTGTTTAAAAGTGACACAATTGTGGATTTGGAGGGAACTTTGAAGATTATTGAAACTGACAAAGAAACTGTTTGGAATGTAAGTTTTTTGACTATTATTTATTGGATTTTAGGTGTCATTTGAAATGGAGGATGAGGAATTGCTTTTTCTGAAGATAATTCAGATGTTATCATAGACAAAATGATAGAGAAGATGGTTTTTGCTATAACTTTTTGGAATAGATAGCTAAAACCTTGAAATTTTGTGTGAATGTGGAGAAAACAATGCCTCAACTGTTTTTTAAATTAAATTTTAAATTTTGGATTAATAAACAAGTTACAGCCATTTTACGATAAACCAAATTTTAGGCTCGATTGCGAGGGAATTTGTTGGGTTTACAGCCAGTTGACGTTATAGTAGAGCCATATTTGTTGATTTGTGAGAAGTTGGTTGTAAAACGAACAGAAGATCAACAGAAGCCGAGGTTTTGTGTTACTTATGGTCAAAGTGAGCTATTATTAGAGGCGGAAAGTGAAACAAAGCTTTATGATTGGATGGTTAAGGTATGTTTAGGCTTTGAACTTGAAATTTAATCTTAAATGGCTATATTTTTTAAAATTAAAATATTTTTCAGTTAGCAATATGTTCTCATCAGAAGACCCAAGCTGAATTGGACGCAGTTCTCAACGAATTCAACTTGGAAGCAGCTAAAATAACATCAGAAGTCAGGTCACCAGGATCTCCAATGTCTCACTTTTTCTTGACATGTCCGATTAAGAAAGATCATACTTTTTCAGTTTTTCATGTAAGTTTTTTGTTTGTTTATTGAGTTTTAGGGTTCTTTGATTGTAATATTAAGTTAGGTTGTAACCGAAACATATAATTTTTTACAGACTCCAAACCTTCTAAAACTCAAATTTCAGTCTTTTAACATGCCAAACCGTACGATAACATGCGAAGAAATTATGTATGAAAGCAAGTTGTCAGTCGTGATACCAACAAACATCATTTCGATTTTTGAAAAATGGTGGACAGATCTGCGGGCTGATCTACTACAACATCTGTCGAATTTGAGGAATGCTTCGATGGACGCTGCTTCACATTATGTGATTCGGCATTTGAATTCGAATTTGGAAATCTACAGTCAGATGAAGGAATTTATGCAGGATTACAGCGGACCTAACTTTAGGTATGGCATTGCGGAGGATTTTTGAAATTTTGAAAAGGAAATTGAAAGTTTAGAGTTTTTTTTTTGGAAAGAAAGTTTTGGTATAATTAAGCTGCTAATTCGTTAGCTAGGGTTTATATATTTTGTATAGCTTTTTTTGCAGCTATAAGGGAAGACTTAATGCTAAAAATCTCATTCATCCTTTCCTTTTTAGATCATCCAAGGAAAAATACCGACTAGCCTTTGGTCTAGTCCCTACAAATCTTCATGTACAAAGTTTTAAAGTAGCCGAACACGAATGGAACTATGTCACGTGTGGAGCAATAGCTGGTACACCTTTGCGATTCAAATTAGGTGGTTTAAGTCGACTCAGAGATACTTTAATGGCCGGTTTACAGCCAAACAGTCAAGATTACCTACTGGAAACAAGGTTTTTCACAAGGAGAAAGACATTGATCAATGCCAAAAGAGTCGTTGGTGATCTGAGTCGACGGGTTGAGAATGATTGGAACTTAAGTGAATATGGTAAAGTAGACAAAGTTGGCATTAAACTGTTTTCGGAGGTTAAGCAGGTATGTTTTGAGTGGTCTTTATTGTTGTTTTAGGTTACTTTATGGCTGAAAATGAAGAGGAATCTTGTTAAGACTATTTTTTTATGTTTTACAAAGCTTTTTTGGGCTTAAACAGTTAAAACCTGCCCTTAAAAGCTTCAAAAACAGTAAAAACTCAAGTCTAACTCTTTAAAATCAGTTAAATTCTTAATAAAACGACATTTTTAGTTATACGAACTCCTAACCGATCTCATAAACTCATTCCCAAATGTACATAACCTAGTTGATGCCCTATGCCCTGGAGGATTAGCTCAATTAGAACACAGACAAGGAGAAGATCCTTTGGTGTCAGACACGTTAGCTACACAATTAGATGCGCTGGAAGCGGCGGTGATCAGTTTGAACACCAAAATGGCTGTAATTGATAAGGTGGAGGACAATACGGTCGGTTTTTAGATTTTTTTGTGAATTGGTTTACTGGTACTGAATAGTACTAAAAATATAACGAACTCCTCTATAACGAAACTCCTGTATAACGAACAACTTTTGAATACCCGAGCAATTTGTTATACAGGAGTTCCACTGTAGAAGATAAATTTTGTGGTTTTGGCACTGAGTAGTAATATATAGTATCAATAATCAAAAAAATATAAACTTTGTGTTATTGGTACTGTATGGTACTATATAGTACTAAAAGTTGAAAAAAGGTAGCGTTTGTATTTTTTATGCTGAATAGCATTATACAGTACCAACAATTGGAAAAAAGAGGATTTTTGTGTTTTTGTTACTAAGTGGTACTATATGGTACCAAAAATTGAAAATTTCTAACTTTATCTTTTTTTATTGCTGGATGGTACCAAATAGTACGAAAAACTTAAAAACATGAATTTTTTGATTTTTGTTACAGGATGGTGCTAAATAGTACCAAAAATGCTACTTTTTTGTTAGTGGTACTAGAAAACACGGAATTTTGAATGCTGTTTTGATACTTTTCAGCACTATCTTTTGGTACTACTTACCACTATATATAAAACTATATTTAACCTTCCTTTCAGGACGCTCGAGTATCGTTCAAAGAGAACGCGAAAGCCTCGTTGAATGCCGTCTTGGACATGATCCTAAAACTGATCGATTCCCTATTCTATGGCCAACTTCTCGGAGTAATTGTAGCCTTACGAAAGCAGTCGGACGCCTCAACCTACTTTCATATGCAAATACGACACGATATGATCATGTCACAGGCAGTTACACTGATCTCAACATGTCTACTGACAGCGTTGGAGACGTTATCAGCTGATAAGATAGCTATATGGCAGAGGATTGACCCATTAGTGACGTACTTTGGGTTCTTGTCGTGTTATGGAGATGAGAGAGGCATGATGGAGGATATGAGAGAGATCTGGAGTGTCTTTTATGGCAGAGTTCAGTTCAAGTTTATCGAAGCTAATTCAACGGTAGGGGGGGGGGATGTTTTATTGATTTTGGGGGTGATTATAAGATTTTTGGTACTATTTTGGGCTTTTGGTCACTTTCTTTTGGTATTTGGTACTAATGGTACTTGGTTTAGTTTGTGGTACTATTTTTTTTTAATTTTGTACTAATATGGATTTTTAGTCTCAATTCACAAATATTAGTTATATTTTTTAATTTTGGCACTCTGATGATTGTCTGGTACCTTTTTTAGAGTTTGGTACACTTTTCAACTTTTTTAATACTATGTTTTGAAATTTGTTACCATTATGGTTCTTCGGTCCCATTTTACAAAATTTAGTGATATTTTTAAACTTTGGCACTTTGTTTTTGTTTTGGTACCGTTTTAAGTTTTTGGTACAATTTTTTTATTTTTTAGTACTACTTTTCTAACTTAAAACTTCAAATTTCCAGGCCAAAAACCTGTATACCTCAAGTAGATGGTGAACACCCAACCGACTTGACCATCACAATACCATTAACATCCGATCTGATGGCTAAACTGCCAGAACGAATGAAAAAAGGAGAAACCTTTAGGGTTAGAACGTTTTACTGGAACATTGGAGTAAATCATGAAGCGACATATGCAATGAGATTAGGTGACATATCATTGGAAGAGAGCATCAACATTACTGCGACAACCTTATTGTCGCAATATGTCAATGAAATGGGGCAGGAGGTGAAGGAAGAGACTCATAGGATCATGGAGGAGTTGAAACGAACGGTATGAGGGTTGAAATTGTTTAGATTTTGAGGAAAAAATAATGTTTTTGGTAGATTTTTTAGCTTTTTCGTATGTTTTAAGACGGAATTTTTGATGAAAAATTGTTAATACATAAGATCAAGATTAAGAACTGATAAAACCCAATTTTCAGGTTGATGATTGCCCCTCAAGGAAGAATATGGCCATGTTTTCGAAAGTCCAAGACCTGACCCGCGCCCTGAACGGAGTCTGTGTAATATCCTGCAAAAGTGGCAAAGACCGCTCTTCCATGGGAATCACGCTGGAAGAGGGCCGGTCACTCAAAGAAACTATCGGGATTTCACAGCAGCAGGTAGGGGTTTTGTTATAGATATTTTTTGAGCGTAAAGGCCCCTTTTTAAGGTTTTTAGGTTTAAAATTCAATTTTAAAATTTGTTATATTGATCTAAAATAACATTTTATGGGTTTTTTATTACCTAAAATAACATTTTAAAAGCGTTTTGTTACCTAAAGTACCAATTTACAAGCTTTTTGTTATCTAAAATATCATTTTATAAGCGGTTTGTTACCTAAAGTACCATTTTATAAGCTTTTTGTTACCTAAATACCATTTTAAAAGCTTTTTGTTACCTAAAATTCCATTTTTCATAAACTTTTCAAACTTAAAATACCATTTTTATGGCTTTTTTATAGTAAAAGTGACCTTTCTTTTCAAAAACTAGGTTGAAATTTGAAAAAAACTGCCACTTTAGGTCGAAGAAATAGTGGACTGCCTCCGCCGCGACGGCGTCCGCCGAGAGAATTGTCGCAAAAACGTTGGCAAAGCCATGTACTCCTTCAGCCCATTCCAAATGCACTTCCTACCCAAAGAATTCCGCCCACCCGCCGGCACTTTCACTCACAATGTATCATCCTAACTTAACTTATGTTTGAAGATTGTTATTTATTTTGTACCTAAAAAGTTTTTTTTAGCTAAATTTATGGATTTTAATTAATTTTTAATATTTTTTTACGTTTGAGTGTACATATTATTATAGATTGTTCAAATAATTCTGAGCTTTTTCTTTCAAAGAAATTTTTTTGGGTTAGGGGCTCAGAATTATTTTAACATCCTAATATGATAAAAAAAAGGCAAGAAATTTTTGTTGGGAAAAATGAAATTGCAAGAACTTTATTTACAAAACGAAAAATGGCAAGAATTTTGTTTACGTGACGAAAAATGGCAAAAACTTTCTTTCCCAAATAAAATATGGCACGAACTTTCTTTACAAATCAAAAAATGGCACAAACTTTCTTTACAAAACAAAAAATGGCAAGAACTTTCTTTACAAACCGATTTTTAAAAATCCGTATAACTTGTCACCCGCCGCCCGCAGACACCAAAAAAGCAATTTTTATCACAAAAAAAGCTATTTCTATATAAAAAACGTCATTTTAACATAAAATTTATTGAAAAAAGTCATTAATAGCGTCATGTTTAGTGGCTTTGGAATACTGGTGGGTCGAGATATGATAAGATATATAATTCTTTGGCAGGTGTGTCGGTCGAATTGAAAAGCTGCGTAATAGAAGTTTTTAAGCACAATACTATAGGGATATGGTGTTTTTTAAAGGTACTAGACGTACTAAACAGGGAGAATAGGGGTACAATGTTATAATAGTACTATATGAAACATAGTGATACCATATGAGCCATAATGGTACATAAAGGGTCATCATGGTACTATATGGATCATATTGGTACTGAAAGGTTCATAATGGTACTAGAACAGATTTTTTTCATTTTACAGTACGTTTAGTGGGCAGTAGCGGTTTGGCTGGATCTTTGGATCAATGTGGCACGTTCCTAAAAATTTTCGTATTTTAGGACGATTTAGCATTAGAAGAACGAAAAATGACATTTTAAACATTTTTTTTAATTCCAAAAAATTTTAAAATTTCGAAAAATGATTTAAAAGGCCTCACCTCTCCTTGAGTATTATAAAGAATGGTCTGGACGTTGTGGCCGCTTCCGAACGACTCTTCGCCGTCGAAGACGAGTTGTTCTGGTGGGCTGTGGACGCCTTGGTTGCGGGCCCAGATCTAAAGCAACATATTTGAGATCTTTTTCAAAAAACGGTACTGTATAGTACCAAAAAGTTTTATTTTAGGCTCATATTAGGCTTATGGATCCTTTTTTTCTTTTGCTACTGTTATTTTAAACGCCATACCTACAATAAAATTGTTTTGAACACCCTTGCATAGATGTACCAAAAAAATAGTACCAAAAAATGCAAAATAGTACTAGAAGGTCCCAAGATCACTTTTAGAACTATTTTCAAGCTATTAAGTTGTTCAAATAATCCTGAGCCCCTCTCAAAGCAAATTTCCCGGATAGAGGGCTCAGAATTTATTGAACAACCTAGTAGACCTAAAAATAATTCTAAAAGTGATCTCGGGACTTTTTAGTACAACTTTTCATTTTCTGGTACTACTTTAAATTTTTTTGGTACCACTATGTAAGGAGTTTCCAAAAAAGCCTCCCCAAAAAGTTCTAAAAAGCCACCCAAGACCCTACCTTAACACTTCTTCCGGGTCTCAGCACGAAGTCTCTGGGGAAGGTGTAGACAATGTCTCTTCGGTTATCGATTCTTCTTTTCAGCTTCCATTCGCCGATCGGCTCTTCCCGGGCACGGTGGGTGTTTTCGAGGACGATGAAACGTCCTTCTGGGTTGGCTTCGTAGATCGAGACATTGCCTTTGGCGGAGCGTTGGTAGGAGTGGCGGGAAGAGGTTTCTCCGCGCAGGACGCGGGTGGATTCTAAAAAGAATCTTTTAAATAAAATTTTTTGGTATGCAAGATATGGAAATGGCGTATTTTACATAATATAAAGCCTCAAAAAAATCTTGCCGTCAAATTACACGGCTTTTGATAACGAAAAACGACAATACTTTTCCCGTTCTTATATAAGGTTGTTCAAATAATTCTGTGCCCCTTAACTCCAAAAAATATCTTTGAGAGGGGCACAGAATTATTTAAACTGCTTAATATTGGTCATTTTGGGACTTTCTAGTACCATTTTTTACTTTTGGTGCTACTTTTTCTTTTTTGGTACTATCATACATAGAGGGGCACAGAATTAATTGAACAGTGTAATATTAGTAATTTTGGGACCTTTTAATACCATTTTTTTCTTACTGTGCTACTTTTTATTTTTGGTGCTATCATATGTAGAGGGGCACAGAATTATACGAACAACCTAATAGTACACAACAAACACTAATTTTGAACTTTTATATTCAAAATTTAAATTTTTAAATCAAAAGAATTAAAATATTAGTGATCAACTCACCACTCTCATTGCTCTCCTTAACATGATGAGTTCGATAGACTTGTTCGACCAGTTGTCTCAAGCCAGCTCGATCTTCCTCTCCTTCCAACATCTTTCTGTAGATCGCGATTTCCGCGTCCAAGGTCTGCTTGGTGTCCAACAACATCTGCAACTCCACCATCAGCATCTGGCACTCATCTCTGATCTTTCTGATCTGAGTATCACGGTCATTCAAGGCTCCTTCGTACGATCTTTGATCATCTTCTAATTGGTAGTTCAGCTCTTCCAATTGTTTTTCGAGCAAAGTGTTTCGGCCCTCCAGGTCGGCCAGTTTGCCACGAAGGCCACTGACTTGAACTCGGAGACGTTTGACCTCTTCGTGAGCATAGGATTGCTCCATGGAATGCCTGGCCGACTGGGTTTGGATCTCTTGGACCTTGAGTTTGTACCAGGACTCCATGTCGGTGCGTTGACCATTGGTAAGTTGATCGTATTCTTGACGGATCTCACGGATGGCGGCTGCCAGCTCGTTCTTGAAGTATTCACGGTTCTCGCTGGTCGTGTCGCGAGAGGCCATCGCCTGGAAATGAAGTTGCAGTTATGTTATTGTAAGTTACGCTAACCTACGTTGTGCAGCCCTACTCAACTCACCTCTACCCTACTCTACACTACCCTACCTTACCCTAACTAAATTTTTCTACTGTAAGTTATCCGTATTTTACCTTATCATCTCCTGCCTTACCTGAAGATCCCTGATTTCGCTCTCATGAGCTCGTCGCAAGAACTCAATCTCCTCCAACAAGGTCTGAGCCTGGTTTTGATTGTCAATCCTGTTCAAGGTCTCTTGATCCAAATCAGCACGAGCTCTTTGCAGACCACTGATCAGGTATTGGTTCTCTCGCTTGATCGAGGCGATATCTCCTTCTAAGTTGGCGATTCGTCTCTTCAACAAGTTCACCTCACTCTCCAGCGCACTCAACCTCAACAGCAGTTCTTCGAGTTGCTCACGGTTGATCTCTCGTGCTTTCACGGCATCATCATACTTGCGACGATACGCTAGGATGTCATCTTGTAGTACTCGGAGTTGGTCCGCCAACTCTCGTCTCAACTTTTCTGTTTCGGCCAAGACTTTCTTTGCCTGTGACAAGTCACCTTCGTACATGTCACGCACGCTGCTGGAGTCGTGACCCCAACGTGAGCGGAGGAATTCCAAGTCTGTAGCCAGTTTTCGGTTTTGGGCTTCTAGGAATCGCACCTTCTCGATGTAGCTGGCTAAACGGTCGTTCAGATCGGACATTTCCTTCTTCTCACGCTCACGAGTGTCACGAATGGTGGAGGCGGCGGTGGAGCCGCCATATGGACTGAATACAGCACCACTTCCAATCGATGAAGACTCAGTGACAAGCTTAATGACACGGTTCGAGCCGAAACCTCCTTCTGAAAGAAATTGAGGATTAATTGAGAAGTAGATTGTCAATCCAAAAGTGAGAAAGGCCCTCAGAGCAAGGTCTATAATAGGGCTAGAGTAGACCTAATATGAGGTTAAGGTAGGGTAGAGCAGAACAGAAGAGGATAGTTTAGGATAGGGTAGGATAAGCCAAAATAGAGTAGGTTACGGTAGGGTAGGGAAAAATAGGGTAAGGTAAGGTAGGGTGGGGTAAATTGGGGTAGGGTAAAGTAAGATAGATTAAGGTAGGGTAAAAGAAGGTAAGTAAATCCGATCAGGGTAGGGTAGGGTAGAACAAATTAAATATTAATAAACCACTTCTATCCCTCCCCCTCCTCTGGCTTAAACACAGGGCATAGAATTGATGATCTTCTATGCCCTACCCTGTAGTACAGAACACCCCTACCCTGTATACAACCCTAACCCTGATCTTACCACACCCCCTTCCCCTACAAGGCACTCTGTGATTAGCCATAGCCGTACGTACCCCTCTTCTTTATCACTACAAGGCACCATGCCCTACGTTCTATCCTAATCTTACCCTTATCCTCCCCTGTCCTACAAGACATCCTACCCTGTTTCCAACACTGATCTTACCCTCCCCTTCGCCCTACCCTAATATGCAAACTTTTACAAATATTAGGTTTTCCAAATAATTCTGTGCCCCTTACCTCATCCCCATAATTTGCCTTAAGAAGGGGCACATAATTATTTAAACGAACTAATATTAATAATTGTCAGACCTATCAGTATCTTTTTTAATAAAATATTCTTTGAGACAGGGCCCAAAATTAAATGAACAACCTAATAAAATTTCAAGAACTTACGAGGAGACAAAGCCCGGTTAGGCCGGCCCAAGTTGGCCCTGGACTGGATAGTGCTTCGGTATTCTGATTTGGTTTCCATTCTGAAATTCAAATCGATTGTAAGCGGAACACCGACGTCAATAGAAAGCATTATAATGTTGGAAGCGGTTTCCACAATACGCTTATATATGTTTACAAAACTATACCTTTTTTGGTTTTTATTTATCGAAAAAGGTCATTTTTCATGTTTTAGTTATTTTAGCTTTGAATTTGAAAAAAAAGTTCAAATATCTTATTTTAGGCCTAATGGTTGGTTATGGAATGGCCTTTTATGGCCGTTAAATTATCATTTACTGATTAGTCATAAAAGAATTGATGTTGTAATTGACTATAATTTTTAAAAAATAAAATAACTTTCAAAATGTCAAAAGAAAATGTCATCTTTAGTTTTGTAAACAAAGTTTTTGCAATTCTTAGCTTCATAAAAACGTTCTTGCCATTTTTTGCTTTGTAAGGAAAACTATTGTCATTTTTATTTAAAACACCAAAAATTTTCGATTTTCAGTCTACGGGTGACAATTCATACAACAAATGACATTTTTAAAATTTTCATGCTTTGTAAAGAAAGTTCTTGTCAATTTTGACCTTGTAAAGGAAGATTTTGCCATTTTTTGCTTTGTAAAGAAAGTTTTTGCCATTTTACTTTTTGTAAAGAAATTTCTTGCCTTTATAACATCAAAATTTATAAAATGCCAAAAAATCGCCTAAAAAGTTGCCTCTAAATTACTAAAACCGTAAAATTCACGGCCAAACGTTCACGTACAACGTGAGCAAGAAAAAAAAACGTTTGGTATTCAAACACAAATCAAAAATTTGATCAATACAACCCTAAGGGTAAACAATGCGCATTTTTTGTGGAATCAACAAGCTCTTCAACAGCTCAAGTTACATCCTTTCTTTAGCCTTGAAACCCTTTTTATAAGCCTATTTATTTTGTTGTCTTTGAGGTCTTTTCTATTTTAATACTATTTCGTTTTGCATTGATCGTTTTTCTTTACCGCCTCTAAGTTGTCTGTGTTCTTTAGCTTAAATTTGCGGTATTTTGATTTGTAAAGAAAGTTTTTGCCATTTTTGGGTTTGTAAAGAAAGTTTTTGTCATTTTTGGGTTTGTAAATAAAGTTCCGGCCATTTTTTGTTTTGTAAAGAAAGTTCTTGCCATTTTTTGGTTTGTAAAGAAAGTTCTTGCCATTAAAAAAAAATTTAAAACGTCGTACAGATCCCCTTCCCCTCCAAAAATGTTAAATCTACCCCCTCCCCCCCCACCCCCCAAAAAATATTTCAAATCCACCTCTCCCTCAAAAAAAAATAAAAATTCCGAATCTACCCCACCCATAAAAATAAAAATTTTTCATTTCCTGGCTCCGTCAAGTAAAGTAAAATATACATCGATATGAGTTAAACCCGGAGGCAAACAGTCTTAAGCGCGCTGGTGTTGTTTACAATGACCCGAAACGTTTGATATTATACAAAAGGCTGGCGCCCCGTTCAGAACATAATCCGAATGCCCTTTAAACCATGGATAAGATACGATCAGCCGGCTTCGAACATGTTTTCAGGGAGGACGGGGGGGGTTTGGAATTTTCAATTTTTTAAAAATGGCAAGAACTTTCTATACAAAACAAAAAATGGCAAAAACTTTCTTTACAAAACAAAAAATGGCAAGAATTTTCTTTACAAAACGGAAAATAGCAGAAACTTTCTTTACAAAACAAAAATGACAAAAACTTTCTTTACAAAACATAATATGGCATGAAATTTGTTTACAAAACAAAAAATGACAAGAACTTTTTTTACAACCATAAAAATCAAAAAACGATCTTTATCGTATAACTTGTCACCCGCAGCCTGCAAAACTCAAATACACCCCCCCCTTCTCCCTCACAAAACCAAAAATCTGTGTCTCCAGCAACGTCCCTGCCGATTCCTTAATTAAACGTCTCTACCCATGCCGCTTAATAATCACTTATCAACCCTCTCTTTTATCATCATCAACCTACTTTGAAGACGGCTCGCTGATTGGGTACTTCAACTCGTTAGTGGAAGCCGGCTGCGTCGCTGTGTGGGTCTTCGAATGGAGCGAATCGAACTGGAATTAAAATTCTTGATCATTCCCTTATCGAACAAACAAATAATTGTAATTGAAGCCATCCCCGCCTCTATTCAACCGCTTTTTATCAAAGAAAACCGCCGGAAAAATGCAGTTTTTTTGGTTGATTGTTACTGTATATTATGAGTCAAACCGTACCTATTATGGAAGGAAGATACTAAAGACATTGTTTTATGGATGGAAGAGTCATTTGAGTTTTGTAAAGAAAGTTTTTGTCAATTTTTGTTTTGTAAAGAAAATACTTGCCATTTTAACTTTTGTAAAGAAAGTTCTTGCCATTTTTCGTTTTGTAAAGAAAATTCTTGCCATTTTTTGTTTTTTAAAGAAAGTTCCTGCTATTTTTTGTTTTGTAAAGACAAGAATAATCCTTTAAGACTAAATCTAACAGGAACGTAATTAATGTCAAAAGAAAAAACTCGTATTTTACAATTCTATACCCTACCCTACAATTTTTTACAACCCCAAGCCCTTCAAGCCCAGTTGAAGGTAATAAAACGCTAGCGAAACGACTGATAAGAACGTTTTGAGGCGACGCTTAATGACTTCTCCTCACAAACTGATTGTCATCATGTTTGGTAAACAACATTCCACCAAAGGCACACCCATTTAGTACATACCTTTTCCTATTTATATGAATCATGTTAAGGTAGACGGAAGAGTTACAAAAAGTGACAAAATTGTTAACAAAGTGAAAAGTTGCAAAAACTTCTTTACAAATCAAATATTTATAAAAACTTTATTTACCGTATAACTTGTCACTCGCAGCCTGCATAACTCTCAACTTTTATGATTTTGCATAAAAACCGCAACAACTTTGTTTACAATGAAAAGATAAGCCTGATTTTTTGTTGAAAGACAAAAAATGGCAAAAACTTTTTTTACAAAACAAAAAATGGCAGTAACTTTCTTTACAAAACAAAATATGGCAAAAACTTTCTTTACAAAAGAAAAAATTGCAATAACTTTCTTTACAAAATTCAAAATATTCATAATTTGCCTACCATCGTATAACTTGTCCTCCGCAGGCTGCGAAACTCAAAAAGTTATTTTTTGGCCATACAATTGACAAAAACTTTCTTTACAAAACAAAAAATGGCAGGAACTTCTTTTACAAATCAAAAAAATAGCCAAAACTTTGCTTACAGACCAGATAACTCTAATGTAAAAGTTTTAATTTTAAAAATTGTATAACAAATTGAAAATGTAACAAAAAACATCTTTTACAATCAGAAAACTCAAAATTCATCTTGAGGAAAGGGTATTTAACCATTCGAAACGAGTTTCGCTCTGGATAATTACCAAAGGTCAGAAAAAACAAACATGACAAACATGGTAAATCATGGTTACGGACCGGAAACAAACAAAAATAATTGGATTATTGGTTTAGGTTGGGTTGACATGTCAGTTTTGGTCGTATTTTAAGGTACCCTCCCCCTATTTTTCATTTTGTAAAAAATTTCTTGCCATTTTTGTTTTGTAAAGAAAGTTCTTGCCATGTTTAGTTTTGTGAAGAAACTTCTTGCCACTTTTCTGTTTGTAAAGAAAGTTCTTGCCATTTTTTCATTTTTTAAAGAAAGTTCTTGCCATTTTTTAAAAAAAGTTCTTGCCATTTTTGTTTTGTAAAGAAAGTTCTTGCAATGTTTTGTTTTGTAAAGAAAGTCCTTGCCATTTTTCGTTTTCTAAAGAAAGTTCTTGCCATTTTTTGTTTTGTAAGGAAAGTTCTTTCCATTTTTTAGTGCAAATATTTTACGAATCTCTGTTTAAACGTTTAGTCGTGTGCTAAGCCTTATTGTTGGTCGTATTTATTCGAGAGATTAAGTGCAAGTGATACGTTTGCAATAAGTTAGTCACTGTAAAAGCAGCTCAGAAGAGCGACAAACATACGATGAGTTAAAAAGCTTCGTACTTATATGAATATAAAAAACGAAAAATAATAAGAACTTTCTTTACAAATTAAAAAATGTCAAAAACGTACTTTACAAAATAAAAAACGGCAAGAACTTTCTTTACAAAACAAAAAATGGCAAGAACTTTCTTTACAAAGCATACAACGGCGGGAACTTTCTTTACAAAACAAAAAATGATATTTGTGGCACAAAAAGGCTTTTTACTTACAAATGCCCCTCCCTCCTCCCAGACCTTCTTGATCACCCATATTTTTCAAATCATTTTACCCCCAGTACAAAAACGTGTCATTTTTTAATAAAAACCCGTAAGTTTAGTATTTTTCAACATCAAAATAAACATGTTTTGAATTTTCTATCTTTTCAATAATCTAAAACTCCATTTATAAAAAGAAAAAAATCAAATTTTTCAAAATCTCGAGAAATGGCTTACTTTCCTGTCGGTTTTACTTCCTTTCCGCACAAAAGACAACATTACAGATTAGATTTGACGGTTGTAAATAAATCGAAATCGCAAAATAAAAGTTTTTGCAAAAACTTTCCGGATCAAAACCCCCCTCGCGGTTGAGAATTGGCTTATAAAAGGCTTACCTTGTAGGGGTCGTAGTCTCTGCGCTGGCGCTCCTCCATTTGAGCCATTCTTTGACGTAATTCCGCCTAAAATGCGTGACATTGTAATATGAGGTGACATGCGAATTTGAATAGAAGTTCAAATAAGGTAGTTGAGTTTGAAAATAGCTAGCTTAGTTTGAATTTTCAAAATTTTTGAAAATTTTAAAATTTTTTTTAATTTTTCAAAAAAAAAGTTTTTTTTCAATTTTACGATTAAAACATTTTAAAACACTGGGCCAAGAGCAAGGGAAGATTGGGGACCGGGAGAAGGGTACCCCCCACCCCCCATCAGAAAAAAATGTTCGAAAAAAGTTGAACGTGGTCCCTTTGGATTCTGTGGATCTTTTTCGACCCTCGCCCTCAGACCAAAAGTCACCGTCCGGCTCTGTTGAAACCACAATCTGTTCGTTATAAACAGGTTCTACTCTTTACAAAGGTCCTTCTCCGTAATCACATATATATAACATATTAGAAAATAATATGATATGTCTAACATATCAAAATCACACTACTATCACCCTACTCTCCAAACCACTGATTCCGCGTACTGAATGCTCTAAACAATAATAAACGGAGGCCATTTAGTAATCGTTGTTCACTCAAAACTTAATTTAAATGCAAATCGGATTTGCGTCAAATCGTTTGGAATATAATACAAATCGACTGCGACTCATAATTACCGTACAGTAATTGAAACTCGGGTTTGAAGGTGATTTATTAGTCAGTTTTAGACGTTTGTTCTTCAGATTTTTCAAATTTTTTGAATTTTTTAAAATATTTTTTTTAAAAGTTCAAATTTTTTAAGATTTTGAATTTTAAAAATTTTTTTAAAATTAAATTTTTTTTAAAAATTTTTGAAATTATTTGAAATTTTAAAATTTCAAAAACAAAACCCACTTCAATTCGCTGATCGAAATCTTCCTGAGACTCTTCAAAGCGCCTTCGTGTGTATTCAGAAGGTGGTGGAGCTGACGGTTCTCGTCTGCGTGATGTTACCTAAACGTGTCATAAAAGATCTTTTTTAAAAAACTTAAACCTTTAATATTTTTGATCAAAATTCTAAATTTAAAAACATTTTTTGATGTTTAGTACCCCCTATCATCAATTAGAACACCGTGCCCACTAAAAGTTACAGTACTACCGCGGAACGGTTCTGATGGAGAAGTAAATCCACCCCCTTACCCTATCCTACTCTGCTTTACCCAATCCTAATTTGCCTTGTCTTACCATACCTTACCCTATCCTACCTTACCCTAACCTATCGTACCCTAGCTTACCCTAATCTACCCTATCCTACCCTAGCTTACCAAAACGATATTCACTACTCCCACCTTACCGTATTGATGCTAGTCACAGTCTCCTCAAACCTCGTCTCATCACTATTCCTCCTCTTTCTGGCTTCTCTTTCGACCGGTCGGATTGCTTCGAATTCAATCGGTGGAATCTCATGGTTTCTTCTCATTATGTCCAACGGTCCACTATAAGGTTCGACAAGATGTGCCAGATAACTATATTTGGTTATGGTTTCGTATTGTCGTTCCGTGAAACGTTTGGGAGAAATGTGCTGGGTTACTGTAGTTGTTACGGTTTCGTCAGTGCGCTAAATTGGAAATTTTAGATTTGAAAAAAAGTTGTTAGTCCAGTCTAGCCTTCTCTACTTTACTTTTCCTTACCTTACCCTATCCTACCTTACTCTACTCTACCCTGCCCTACCCTATAGTACCAATAATCAAGCCTTACCCTAACCTCACTAATTCAAAAATACTGTCACCACGCCCCTTTCCCCCCCTTAAACAACTTTTTTCTCATTTTAATTTTACTGTACTATAGTAATATCATTTCCTGTTAATGTCAATGGTACCATCAGCACCACCTTTCACTAAAAAACCTACCAATTCAGGGCTGTCGGCTCGTTCCTCGTCCTCTTCATCCACGATGCTCAACTGTTCTTCCGCGTACATTTCGTTGAGATGAGCGGCGGGTCGGCGGCGGCGGCGCCTAATCTCCATCTCGAGCTCCTCCTCGTACTGTATGTCATGACGGAGACGGTCGAGGTAGACACGCTCTTCTTCCTCTTTTTCTTCTTTCTCTTTGGCTTCTTGATCTTTTCGTTCTCTCTCTAGTTTCTCTTTCTCTTGTTCTAGCCTTTGTTTCTCTAACCTCTCTCTTTCTATTCTTTCTTTCTCTAGCCTCTCCTTCTCTAACCTCTCTTTTTCTTCTCGTTCTATCTCCACCCGTTCTCCCTCGTCTCTCGCCTTTCCTTCCCTCTCTTCCCTTCTTTCTCTCTCTTCTCTCAACCGTGCTTGACGATCACGTTCCTCAACGTCCAACCTGATCTTCTCTAACCGATCAAAGTCTTCCTTTTCCATTCGCTCTCTCTCCAGCCTCTCCTTCTCCTCGATCTCTCGTTTTTCCTTGATCTTCCTCAAACGCTCTTTTTCCTCCCTTTCTCTCTGTTCTTTGACTCGTTGTAGACGTTGTTTTTCTTCTTTTTTACGTTGAATTTGAAGTAGGTATCGACGATGTTCTTCTTCTTCAATTCTAAGCCGTTCTTGGCGTTCTTGTTCTTGCTTTAGACGTTGTTCTTGTTCATATATTTCTTTTTGCTCTTTTTCTATTTGTTTTTGTCTTCTTTCATCTTCTTCTCTTTGTTGTTTTAATCTTTCTTCTCTTTCTATTCTCAATCTTTCCAGCCTCAGAGTTTCCTCTCTTTCTCTGCGCTCTCTCTCCAACCTAACTCTTTCTTCTCTCTCTACTCTTTTTCTCTCTTCTCTCTCCCAGAACTCTGTTCTCTCTTCATCTTCTTCAACAATCGTTTCAGCAATACTCAATTTGTGAGCTTCGCCTTCAGAAGGCGCAGCGATTTCTTCACTCTCAACCAGCTCAACACCAATCTGTTGTTCCTCCCTCTCTTCAACTACCTCCTCGACCTCGTCGTGCAGCTCACGAGCATGACCGCTCTCTGACCTCACCACCAACTCGAGGTCCCGGCCCACTTCCTCCGACTCGACCAGCTCATCCGCCGGTGCGCTCACTTTCTCCACGCGTTCCGTGTAGCTGGCCACCACGGTTTCTACCAGGTTTTCGTGAGATGGGCGGTCTAAAAGTTTTAAGAATTTCAATTCAAGCTTGAAAAGTTTTCTTAAAGTATTCATTTTGAACTAAACCACCAAAAAAAGTCTAAAATTTAAAAAAAAATAATGAAAGGGAGATCTTACCTTGAGCAACATGAGGTACAACAACATCCCTTATCTCCTGTTTGGCCTGTCGGATTGCTGGTGCTGGTTTGTGCTCAAGCTTTTCGGTAATGATTTCTTGTTTATATTCCTTCTTCAAAACACCAGTATATCGACTGGATTTGAAGGGAGTTGGAGTAGAAGATGCTAACGGAGAATCGTCCTTTTCGAAGGTTTCTCTTTCTTCAACTTCGGAGCTAAAATAATCAAATTACATTATTTTGTTACCTAAAATGCTGGAAATTATAAAATTTTGTTACCATAAAATATTAAACTCTTAAAACACAACTTTTTACCTAAAAATACAGAATTTTTAAAAATTTGTTACCTAAAAATATTAAGCTTGATCTATATGCCAATTTGGCAAAATTAAAGAACTACAAGCAATACTAAAGCTAAATAAAACTAAAAATCCCTTAAATATAGCTAAAAGTAAAGTAAAAGCTACTTTAACTATGTTCTTTTAGCCGTTTTCATTATAAAAATCAACAAAAATCATTGAAAACCATATTATCTGAAGTTAAAAATACATCTACTGTTAATTAAAACAAAAATTATTAGAAATAAAACAAAGAAACTAAAAGAAGAACCCCAAAAACCTTATAATTTATCAAGGATGATATATTTTTGGCCCATTTTTTGGCGAAAAAGTGCGCCAAATGAGCGAAATACTTTATTTTTTCCAGCCGGGTTCGAATCCGGTTGGAGGTAATTGGGTATAACTTCGTTTACAGGGCTTGAAATGATTTGAAACGTTGTCACAATATAGAAAAGAGACTAGTAATAAGAAATTAATGTTATTTTAGGTAACACTTTATTTTGAAATCTAAAAATTTTGAAGGAAACGTCAAATTTTTCCTTTTTTCCGTGTTTAAGTTTTTTTTGCAAATTTTGTTAAAATACGCCAAACACTCCAACTCCATTGAAAAAAAAGTTTAACAGAAAATAGCGTTAACTTTGTTTACATGCCAAATAACAACCCTAAAACCTCAAAAATATAGCCTAGCCTACCGATAATGTTGATCATAATCGCTTTGTCTCGACGGGAAATTGGTTGAACCTTCTGAATAGACCGGTAATGGACTGAAAGTTTCTTCGTGGCCTCTGTGAGTGTCGGCTGATGAGCTTCGGGGTGCTGGAGATGCACCTTGAGATCCGCCACCATATTCTTTAAAGCGCTTTGATTGTTTTAGGATTTCGATTTTCTCACGGAATTGCTCTACTACATGTTCTGGATGAGCTGGGTCTGCAAGTGTTTTATGTTTATTTAGTCTTTTTTAAAACCTTAGCCCTAGCCTCAAACCGAACCTAGAGACCTATAACTAGCTCTAGCCCTAGCCTTGTAGATAATATTACCTAAACATAGTACTTACCTTGAGCAGAACCAAAGCTTTTGGGCCTAAAACTATCAAATTCTTGGCCGCGAGTCTTAGTATGCTCATATTCAGTACCATGTTGGTCTCGCCCAACATTTTGTTCATACTGCTGACCTCGTACTGGACTAACAAAGCCAGGAGTACGCCGAATGTATTGTTCATGAGTTTCCTTGGTCGATGTAAAATATTTTACTTTTGGCTTTGTAGCATCACGTACTGTGGACGTACCGTAATCACCTTTAGCAGCGCTCCCATAACCTTCTTTTGAAGATATACCGTAACCACCAACAGTAGCACCACCATAGTCGCCTTTAGGTATTGGTGATGTTGTAGCTGTGACGTACTTGCCTGATGATGTTATAACTGCGACAGTTTCGTCGGACTTGCGTCTGGTACTGAAGTCTGGTCGTTCTTTGAAGGCTGGACTAGCATGAGCATCAATATTCAAATTAGGGCTTCCGCGGCCGAAAATAGGGCTTGATCTGGCATTTTGGTCCAAGAGAGCACTACTTCTACCATCAGTACCAAAAACAGTACCAGCTTGGCTTCTAGGTCTAGTAGACGAAATCTCGGTTCTTGAAGCCGAGTAGACTCCAGAATCCGTCCGTGGGGACACGTGAATCCCGGTGAGAACGGCTTTGGCTGCGTCTACACTAGATGGTCTACCTAGATTGACAACTGGACTTGTTATGCCACCAGGACTGCCGATATTGACTACAGCTGGCTCGGTAGAAATCTTTGAAGATTTTTGACGATTGGCTTCCTCTTTCAGCCTTCTGACTTCGTCACGATATGTTTCGTAGTCGATTTGACGTAGCGGTGTTGGTGGATCTCTTCTGAATTCAGAATCCTTGGAGAACTGAGTAGTACCACTTTGGCGACCAATTTCAGTACCACTTTGAGCACCATAACCAGTACCACTGTGAATACCAAATTCAGTACCGACTTGACGTCCAAGTTCAGTACCACCTTCATTACCACTAACGTCCACAGTAAGCCCACCACTAGGTGGTGCACTACTGTGACGACCTTCAGAAGCCTTCAAGTTCGAAATGTTCGAAGTGTGATAAGGTTGAACTTCAGCACCAGTACGTTTTCCTCCGTACACCCGACGGTAATGCTCTTCTTCCACAATATGTTCTTTTTTTATTATGCGACGACCGGCCGAAGGTGAGGTTCGAGGGGGTGTGGTGGGTTGAGTTCGGGACCTTGTGGTTAGGTAGTCGTATTGGTTGGCTAGAAATATAGTAGTAAATTATTTTTTTTTTCAATTTCATTTTATTTTTAAAATCTTTAAAAAAAATTTTTTTTTTCACCCACCCCAAAAAAAATTTTTTACCTTGCCAGAATTTTTTAAAAAATTTTTTTTTTCGTTTTGCTTTTTGAACCTATTTGCAACAATTTTTTTACCCCCTTTTTTTTATTTTTTTGTCCCGCTCAAAAAAATTTTTTTACCCCGCGCAAAAAAATTTAGTTTACCCTGCCCAAAAAATCCTTTTTTTAGTACACTCCCCCTCCTTGGAGAAATTAAAAAAACTTACAATCATCATACTTCCCATACCCCCTCCCATCATTGTATCTAGTCAAGCCCCGAGGCACATGCTCCGTATAGCCATCATCCACGTTCTCCCTAGTGTAACCTTTCCGAATTGGACTACTGGAATGGTACTCACTGACGGATCGTTCGTACATCACATGGTGTTGTCGACCATCCTTCTCGTAGTTCTCTTGAACCCGCTCGTAAGCCCGGCCTTGATTATGCACTTGAGAGTCTCTGGAACGGGATTGGGTTACCGGGCATAAACAATATTTTTTGTTTTTGATTTTTTTTGGTTTTAAAAATTAATTTTTTTTTAATTTGTAGACATCAAGCTTAATGTCAAGGTGTACTAGATATGGTGTCCTACTTTTTGTAAAATACGAATTTTATTTGGATTAGAAAATATAAAAAATTCGCTTTTATAACTGATTTTTTAAAAGATTCACATGCCCTACCCTACCCTATCCTAACCTACTCTGCCATATCATATACAACATATATAACATATATACCCTGCTCTACCCTAGGCATAAAAAACGGACCGAGCATGGCTTTGATTTACAGGCCCCGGCTCGACCTAAATTTGGGTCAACTCCAGCCTGACACGTTCCTCATGCCTAGCTCTATCTTACCCATGATCTACCCTAGCTTTACTTCATCATATACTACTTTGTTCTACCCTAACTTTTCTCAACCTTGCCCTACACTTACTATACCCTACCCTGCTTTCTTCTACCCTACTCTACTGCACCACGCTCTTTTCAAAAATACCCTTATCTTTTAAAATCTAACCTGACCTTTAAAATGCTGCTCTGTTTTTTAGAACCTACGCAGCTTTACCCTACCCTACCGTACTACCATTTTTTCAATTAAAAACTTTGGAAACTTACTCATCTTTATCTGGAAGAACAATGTCTTCCAGAAGATCTAGACAGTTTTGAACGCATGGAGACCTTATAATCGATTCCAGAACATTCATATATATAAATCAACCCTGTTTTTTTCAAACTTAAATTCAAAAAATTTTAAAAGTCATCAAAACACGCAAAATATAGCCAAAATCACCCTGCCCATCACTGATAAAACCTCAAAAAGTTAAAAATTTACCTTGAGATAGCAAAGTCTTGTAAGTAACAAGCAACAGCTGCCAAGATATAATTTTGCTTAATCTTTTTACTACGTTTAGCCATAGTTAACAAATTTTAGCCAAAAATATTTTTAGTTCAAAAATAAAACGAAAAAATATTTTTATCAAATTCAAACAAAATTCGTAGAGTAATTGAAGAAATGATAATAATGTATTTGTTCTGTGACACTTAACAATACAAGGAATTTCAAAATTTTATAATTTTGTAATTTCACAATAGATGAAAGAAACACCGGCAGAATTTTAAAGTGTTCCAGTTTTTCTATAGGGTGAAGTAGAGAGGAGAAAGCCTACTCTAACATACCTTACTCAGAGTTAGACACTGGTGCGAGAATTAAATGCTGTTAGTTTTTGTGATGGGACCTAAGGGGTATACTCTTGCATAGTGATAGGACCTAAGGGATATACTCTTGCATAGTTTACTTTCATAACCATAAATTAAAAAGTTTTTTATAATTCATTCCCCCCCCCCCCCATTCACCTTGATATTAAAAAAAATCAAAAAGTTCACCCCTCTCCCCCAAACAACATTTTAAACGTTAAACCTTTCTTAAAAGTGCCTTCTTACTAAACTATTACCAAAAAAAGATAAATCACGTATATCACTGTAACAGGGACGTCGCTACAGAGTTGGGAAAAACAAAAAAATAAAAACAAAAAAATTTTTTTTCCAGTGGCAGCTAGCTATGTACTTGTGCAGAATTTTTTAAAAAAATTTCTAGCTCTGAAAAAGGGTAGGGAAGGGGTAAATTTATCCCATGTTACCCCTCTCCCTTCTCACCGCTCCCTCCTCCTTCATTCCTATTTATGAGTAAGAGTTCTAATACCAAAAGACGTTTCTCTTACTCATTTTGGTTATATAAACAAAAGGATAAAGTTAAAAATTGTATAATCTTAAAAAATTTCAATTTTCATTTTCATTATTAGTAGCTAATTCTCTATCAAAAAATTTTTAATAAATCATGAACCAGATACCCCTTTTTTGAAATTCTTAACAATTCGAACAAACAGAAAATTTTTTAAATCTACATTTTCTATAGTATCACAAAAAAAATTTTTTAATTTTCTTATGCATTGTTTCGTACATAAGGAAAACTAAGTTTAAAATCCATAAAAGCAAAGTCTAAAATGCAAAAAAAAGTTGACGTAAAAGGGACGGGTATACCCGGGTATAACGGTTATTTGTCCATATTTTTAACACATTTTCGAGTGTTTTCGCAATAAGTACGTGGGTATACAAAAATGGTATTATTTTTTTTGAAAATGTAAGATACGACTTCTCAGGTTTGATGTACCCTTCCTTACTACACCCTACCCTACTCTACCCTACCCTTCCCGGCTCTATCCGACCAGGCTGGTGTAGCCGAGTTTACTATAAGTTTAGCGTGCTTTTGTTACAGTAAACACATTTTACAAAAATATAGACTTAGAAACAGTAAGACGGACGTATTTTACCTTGATTACCCTTTTAGTTTTTAAATTTATTTTAAATTTAATTTCAAAAACTTGAAAATCTTACTTTTTGTCGAATCCGTTGTCCATTCCGTAAGTTTTGTGTAAATTCTGTTGACTTTTGGCTTCTTCATTCCGACGTTTCTGCTCTTCGAAACGCTCGAAAATGGTGGCGGTGTGATCTTTTTGGGCAGGTGATTCTTTCGCTTTTAGAGAGCCTAAAGTATTTTCAAATATATATTGTAAAATGACATCACAAGCCAATATATTGGCCTTAAACAAGCTATATTAACATTATCTATCCTATCATTCCTCACTTTTTCCATTTTTGTGATGATGTACAGTAGTCTTGGAGTGAGTTACAGTAGCAGTAGAGGTCATAGTTTGCTCCAATTTTTGTTTTCCTTTCTCATCCAATGTTTTCAAAGCACTCGGCTCGAAGCTGGTTTGAGACGAAATAATTTGGTATAATGTAGGACTTGGGGCAGCTGGTTTTGGGCTTTCGATCCGTCTCAAGCCTACTGGAACGTTGGCTGAACGGGTGGTCGAGATTCTGGATTCGTAAGATGATTTTAACTGAAAATGGCAGGGTTTTGACTAGGAAAGGAAAAATGGGAAAAACTTTTTTTACAAACCTAAAAATAGCAAGAACTTTCTTTACAAAGCAAAAAATGGCAAAAACTTTCTTTACAGAACAACAAATAACAAAAACTTTTTTTACAAAACTAAAAAGAGCAAGAACTTTCTTTACAAAACATAAAATCCCCAAAAATGCCATCCGTCGTATAACTTGTCACCCGCAGACCGCAGAGGCAAAAAAACGATCATATCGGTTAAAAATGGCAAGAACTTTTTTCCAAACTAAAAACTGACTAAAACTTCCTTTCCACTACAACAAATGGCAAAAACTTTCTTTCCAGACCTCTAATTTGACAAAATCTCTTACCGGTTTGACATTAATAACATCTTTTCCAAACTTGTCACCATATACAATAGCTTCTTGTTTATAAGGTTCTTTGTCATAAACTTTGTAGGTCCGTCCAATATCCGTGGTAAAATACGATTTCTGGGCGTATACTGGGAACTGCGTATGTTCTATCATGTCTGATCCAATCTCCCCCAACGGCGTTTGCACTGATCTTAATACTGTCGAAACGTGAGCACCGTGCTCGGAGTGATCATTATCTGAAATGATAAAGTCTTAGTAGAGAAAAATGACAAATTTGATTTAAAATAGAAAATACTTTGTTAACAAAACCAAAAAATGGCAAGAACTTTCTTCACAAGGTAATAAATAGCAAAAACTTTGTTTACAAAACAAAAATGGCAAAAACTTTATTTACAAAACAAAAAATTACAAAAAGTTAGTTTACAATATCAAAAATGGCAAGAACTTTCTTTACAAAAAAAAAAATGGCAGAAACTTTTTTTACAAAATCAAAAGTGGCAAGAACTTTCTTTGCAGATCTGTTCTTCAAACTAACGCACACCAACAATAAATTTTAAAATTTATACTCCGATAAGCCATACAAACCTTCGCCCACTAATCTGAGATTTCAAAATCACTAGCCACAAAACACAGAAATTGCTTTAACTTTCTTTACAAAAGCAAAAATGACAAGAACTTTCTTTCCAATACAAGAAATTTTAAAAACTACGTTTCTAAATTGAAACAAGGTAAAAACTTTCTTTACATAACGGGAAATGAAATGAAAAATTTTTAAATGCTTAAAAATGGCTATAACTTTCTTTCCAAAACAAAAAATGGCAAGAACTTTCTTTACAAAACAAAATTTCAATTAAAGTAAAAAAGTTTAGCGCTTTGTAGCAACATTGAATACTAATCAACCAAAAATGGGTTGCTATGATGTGTCAAACACTGGTCAAAACGTATTTATCAAAAAAAACCTTCAAGGAGATTAGTTATTTTTCAATCGAAATTTTGTTTTTTGTAAAGTATGTTCTTGCTATTTTGCAATCTGTAGGAAAATTCCTTGTCTTTTTTGAATCTGAAAAAGAAGTTTTCAAAATTCTTGTATTGGAAAGAAAGTTCCTGCCATTTTTGGTTTTGCAAAGACAGTTCTTGCCATTTTTTGTTTTGTAAAGAAAGTTCTTGCCATTCTCTGTTTTGTAAAGAAAGTTATTGAAATATTTTTTGTCTTGTAAAGAAAGTTCTTGCCATTTTTTTAAGTTCTATTTTTTCTAAGTCACCGCTCGCTTCAACGCCAAAAAATCATTCTTTAAATTCGCCCATCGTCAACACCCGTATTTTACAACCGAAAAATCCTTCAAAAACTTTTCTTACAATCAATAAAAAAAAGAATTTAACGAAACCACATTGAAAAGTAAACAAACCTATTCTAATATTTTTAATACTCAATAAATTCCGAAAACCCCGCCAAAAATGGATCGGCAGCTGACTCTCGCCCAATGCAAATATTGATAAGGAGTTAAGAACTCTTCGGAGAAAAAAAAAACACTTTTGGTTATGAAATATCAAGAAAAAGCTGGAATTTGAAGAATTTTTGAAATTTTGATGATTTAGGAGAAAAATTGTCAAAAAAGTGACGTAAAGAAGATTTTGCAAAAACTTTCTTTACAAAACAGAAAATGGCGAAAAAAATCTTTCTAAATGAAAAAAGGCAAAAACTTTCTTTACAAATCAAAATATAGAAAGAACTTTCTTTACAAAACAAAAAATAGCAAAAACTTTCTTTACAAAATCTAAAATCACCATAAGATAACAAAAACCAGTATAATACGCATTTTTGTACTGTGTATGCAAGCATATATTACCACGTATTCAACAACGAGAAATTCACGTATAATTTTTTGGTTTTGTATACGTCCAGAAGTTGTTTTTTGTTTCGACGTCTTTTTTGTGTAAAAAGGTGAAAAAACAAATAAAGGAAGAACATAATACATATTTTGCAAAAGTTTCGGACGTTTGAGATTATATGTAGAAGTTATACTTATGATAGTTTGCCAAACAGACGAAAAACAATCGTATTTTACATTTTTTCAAAAAAAATTATTTTAAATTTTGTTTGTGATCTTTTTTTTTTAATTTTTTTTTAAATGTAAAAAAATTTCATTATTAAGAAAAAACAGTATTCATCGTATAAATTGTCACTAGCAGGCTGCGCAGCAAGCACCAAACAAATAATTTTGTTAAAGTATGAGTGCAATAACTTTTTTTTACAACTAAAAGAAATAGCAAGCACTTTCGTTAAAAAACGAAAAACGGCAAGAGCTTTCTTTACAAAACTAAAAATAGCAATAACTTTCTTTACAAGACAATAAATAACAAGAACTTTCTTTACAAAACTAAAAATAGCAAAAACGTTCAACAGAAGACAAAAACGGCAAAAACTTTTGTTACAGAATATAAAATAGCTAAAACTTTCTTTAAAAACATAACTTGACAATAACTTTCTATACAGTACAAAATTTAGCAAAAACGTTCTTTACAGAGAAAAAACGGTATAGCTTTCTTTACGAAGCAAAAGAAAGAAAAAAAATATACAACTTAATTTAAAATTAACGTATTTTACATTTTTAAAAAAATTTTTCTACCGCACGTCAAAGAGAATATTATAGTACAGACCAAAAAAAAAATACGAAAAACAATTTAAAATTCTGTTTTTCATGACAAAAACAGCCATCTGATCCTGAGAAAAGATTCCATCAAAACAGCCGACGGTTTTTACCTTAAAAACGTATGGAAAAGAGTAAAATAAACAAAACTATAAACGTTCCTCTAAAACAAATGACTCAAACTGAAATGGGCATGAAATGACGTTTTGCGAATTAATCTTTACTACTCGAAGTTTTGTAAAGAAAGTTCTGGCTACTTTTTGCTTTTTGCCATTTATTACCTTGTAAAGAAAGTTCTTTCTATTCTTAGGTTTGTAAATAAAGTTCTTGCCATTTTTTGTTTTGTAAAGAAAGTCCTTGCCATTCCTTGTTTTGTAAAGAAAGTTCTTGCCATTTTTTCTTTTGTAAAGAAATTTCTTGCTAATTTTGTTTGTAAGGAAAGTTTTTGACATTTTTTGTCTTGTAAAGAAAGTCTTTGCCATTTTTTAATTTGTAAAGATTCTTGTCATGCGTTCAATCAAGGGTACCTACCGTTACATTCTGCATGCACAACACTTCGTTGTTGAGGATAATGTGCTGGATTGGTCGATGCGAACGTATGAGCAGTGGTTATTTGTTTTAGCTGAAAATATTAATTTAGCTTTTCTTTCTTTTACATTACAGTATGGTTTTTATTTTGACATTTTTTTTTAATTATGCTTTAAAAATTTTGACAATCCGTATTTTACCAAAAAATTTTTTTTAATTTTTGTAAATTGTTCAAAAAATTTCGTGCCCCTTCTCAAAACCAATTTTTGGAGTTTGAGGGCACAGAATTATATGAACAAGATTATAAAAACCTGATAAAATTTTTTTTTAAATCACAGAGCCCTGTATCTACTACAATATACCTTTGCTTCAAATTCGTCGTATTCAGGCAGTTTATCAAGCTCATAGTAATTATAAGGGCGGTTTTTACTATCAATATCTCTATTATAACTCAAATTTTTTGCATTTTCAACTTTGATATTTAGTTTTTGATCTTCTATACTATCATTTGGGCTACTAAAGCTGTCATCAAAAGTGTCAAAAGTACTACTGTGGGCAGCTGAATGATCTACTGTAGGACTTAAAGTACCTACAAAAAAACTTGTAATATCTACAGTAGGACTTAAAGTACCTGCTGTAGGACATAAAATCTCTAAAGTAGGACTCAAATTTACTATAGCAGACCTTGTATCATCTACAGTGGACTTATGCCTTGCTAGACTTAAAGTACTATCCAAGATAATGTAAATATGGTCAGCTGACTTTGACCGCTTACCAGTACTATGCTTTACACTTATAATACTGTATTTGGCGTCTCTAGTACTAGCTTCTAAACTTGTACCAGTTTGAGATACGTCACTGTGGTCATGTAGTCCACTTATTTCAACACAACTATCTGAGGCAATATTGTTTTTTATAGATGGATTTACTGTAACATCAACTTTAGTACCGTATCTGCGAGTAATATCAACTTCAGTACCATTTCTGCCAGTACTATCAGCTACAGTGCCACATTTAACACTACTATAACCTTCAATATGTCCTCCATTATCACACCCTACCCTACCCCCTACTACATCACCACCTACAGTACCCCAACCACCCCGTTTCTCTTCGAATTCATGGTAATGTAAGGTAGAATGAGCTGAAGCTGGTCGACTGCCAAAAGCAGAATCTTGACTTAAAACACTCGAGTTGCTCAGCACACTCAAGCTAGTGTCACCATGATCTTCGCTGATAAAGATCCAGCCTGATCTCTTGCCAATAGACACCTTATTCAGGCTATGGTAACCACTTGATGGCCTGGATTTTCGTTTTTTGTTCAGTTTTCGAAATGAACGACGATGGTAAGATTGACGAGGGCTTGACTTTTTTAGAGATCTACGAGTGGTGAAGGATCTTTGCATACTATAAGATTTAGAAAATAAACTTAGAAGGCTTGTAAACGCGTATTTATCTAAGTAAAGAGTACTTCAAAACCAAAACAGTAATAAAACCGTTTTTACCCTACCCTACCCTACCCTATCCTACCCTACCCTACCCTATCCTGTCTTACTATATTATAGCTTGTCTTACATTGACTTACCCATCTTGACCTATTCTACTCTTGCCCCAATCTGCCTTACCGTGATCTGTGCTAGCCCTGACCGGCTTTAGTCTAATCTGCTTTGCTCAGATCTACCTTATTCTGACCTGCTATATCTTCATTTACTCTAGTCGTACCCTACCTTTGCTCTACTCTATCATACCCTTACGCTACGTTACCTTACCCATGACAAAACTGCTAACCCTATTCCTCTATCCCCCGTGTTTCCCCTCTTCAAGATATAAAGCACGGTACAATCTCCTTGATAAAAGCCATCCGCTCGCTCTTAGAGGTAAAAAACATACGTCAAGTAAGAAATATTCTCTTTTTTTCATTTTTTTTTGTTTTTTCACCAATTAAAAATTTTTGGATCAAAACTAAAAATCGTTAAAAACCAACTTGAAAATGACAAAAAACAATGACAACTTTTGATCTCTCCTCTTAAAAACCACAAAAAATTATGTTTAACCTTAAAAAATACCTTCCTGCTTTAAACTTAAAAAATTAATTTTTAAATTAAAAAAATGTCATTCTCCATCCCACAGTCAGTGAAAAACAAAACCCATTTCGATGTTTTGATAAATATAAATAAACCCATAACTTCTAACCTTCTAAAACAACAAGCTATTTGTCTTTGGGCGACGACAAGCTGTTTTTTACCGTTCCGGAATACCTTCGACTCGCAAATTATTGCTAATTTCGAAAATTCACAAAAATGCGCATTTCAACGGTCTTTTTGCAAAAATTTTGTTTACAAATGGAAAAATGGCAAGAACTTTTATTACAAAACAAAAAATGGCAAGAACTTTCTTTACAATGCATAAAATAGCAAGAACTTTCTTTACAAAACAAAAAAGATAAAATTTTTAAAAACTTTTTTTAATTACCCAAAAAACACTTTAGGCTTATCTGATTTCTGACGTAAAAAGCAATTACTCATGTAAAAAACATGACAAAGTCATAAAAATAAACAAAATTCTTCGCAATTTTCTGCTCGCTTTTACTGTCATATAAAGTTAACAACTTTTTTAGAAATTGAAAAAGTACTTTTTAACTATTTTCATATTAAAAAATTTCGTAAAGAATGTTATTGCCAATTTTGTAATAATAGTCAATAGAGTTATGCAGCCTGCGGGTGACAATTTATACGAAGGATAAATAATGGCTTGTAAAGAAAGTTCTTGCCCTTTTTCGTTTTGTAAACAAAGTTCTTTCCGTTCTGCTTAAAAATTAAAAAACAGCCCATTCTTACTAAATTTGTTACCCAAAAGCCTATGAAAAAGTGCTCGCAAAAGTAAAAAACAGTTATGTCTTCATACAATTGAAAAAAGTCCTCAAAATCAACAAAAAAAGCGTTAAGTAGTTACTTATACAAACAGCTCATCATAGACGGAACAACCAAAAACAACTCGGATTTGTTTACTTTTAAATCTTCGTTTTGTACTTATGCTAACAGTAAAGGGTAGGGTAGTTTAGGGTTAGACATAAGAAACGGGTCGGGCATGAAAATGAAGACCCGTAAAAAGCCCGGAGCGTTTGCATGTAAAAGAATTGGACTGGGCAGGGCTGAGTCGGCGCTGAGCAAAATTTAGATCACGCCGGGCTTAAAAAATGGGCCCGGCCTCGCCTGTTAATCATGTTTAGGTAGGGTAGGGTACTCATAATTTTTTTAAATTTTTAAAATCTCAGTTTTAAAAAATTTAAAAAAAAACTTTTTCGGGCTGTTCGAATAATCCTGTGTTCCATCCTCAAAACAATTTTTGAGGTTAAGTAGCACAGAATTATTTGGAAAACCTAATATATTAGCTTACCTGAAACGGAGTCCAATAGCAGATCGACTCTGTTTTAAAATAGAGCCACATTTTTAAATTTCAATATAATGTATATATTATAGAAAACGTATTTTACAAACTAAAACTTTCAAATATTCTTCCAGAAATCCATCAAATTTTAGAAAATCACTCTTCTCCAGCCATAAACAAGGTAACACAATATAGATTGGCGCGTTAATTACAACATTCGTAGCAAAATATTGTTGTTTAGTAGAAGTGAAAAAGCCAACGAGTAAAAATATTTTTTTTTCCGAAGCCAGAGTAAGTATATTTTTTACTATGTCTTGCTTAAAATCCCTCGGAATCGACGTTTTTTACTGCCGAGGGATCAGTCTTTTGTTAAAAATTACTCTATGCCTTTTTTGGAGCGCTGACACTGTTGGATTGATGGAGAAAACGTGAAATGAGAAAAATGAATCTTTTGGCTTGAAATATAGATAAAGTATTATATAAAATGGCATTTTTGATACAAGTAGTCTAGTTTTTATGTTAAGGCTTTAAGATAAGCTTTTGAACATTTTTGGATATTGTAGTAGGTAAAGCTTTTTTTTTTCAATTGGAAAACACAGAAACTGTGGTAATATTTCGTCTACTACTATCATACCAAAGCTTTTGAAAAACAAAAAAATGTTATTTTTTCTACTATTAGGTGATCTTTTAATATTTTTTCGGATATTGTAGTAGTTGAAACAAAATCTTTAAAAAAACTGAAGCAAAGCAACAGCTTTAGTAACATTTTGACTTCGGCTATCACACTAAAGCTGTTATAAAACAAAAAACGTCAGTTTTTATACTAATCGTTTAGTTTTTTGAGATTTGAATTATATTGTAGTAGATAAAGCTCCATATTTTAATTCTTTCATAAAAAAGTTTTTAAAAAGATTTTTGAAATTTTTTGCCATTTTGTCGCTTCTATGTTAAATTTAACTATAAAATGGCATCTTTAGTCCACAATATCTTTTTTCCACCGAGTACGATTATATTGTAGTAGGTATTGGTTCGTTTTAATAAAAAACTCAAAAAAATTTTTTTTTGGAATTTTGTACAAAATCAAAAATTTTAATTAACAGGATAAAGCTAAAATTAAAAAGTTATTAAAGTAAAACCTACCGGATCTTTAGAATCTTGAAAGGTGATTAACAATGTGCACAGTTGGTCCTTCATCGGCTCCTCTGAATGGCTGAAAATTGAACTTTTATTAAAAATTTTTAAAATTCAAGTATATTTTCTTTACTTTTTAAAGTTTTATGTTGTCAATATCTTTCTAAGAAGCTATTAGATCAATATTTTTTATCCTAGGATACGTATCATACCTTATCCTAGAGGCATTCATATCAATTTTTTCTCAAAAACTTTTAAAAATTTTAGCTTTGTATAAGTTAATGTTCAGCACACCGCACACATTACCTGAGGATTTTGACAGTAGCAACGTCGAGTGTTTCCGCCTGAACCGGAAACAACTCGTGGACCACAGTTGCCATTTTAGGCAGATGTTATTATACGGATTGCAAATTAAAGACCTTTTTAGTACTTTTTATGACTATATTTTTCAATATTTAGGTTACTGTTAGGTAAAGTCAACTCAGCCTTTCTCTTTTATATAAACTTGGTACCTTTTCATGAACAAGTTCTGAAAAAGTGGAGGTATCATTACTATTTATCTCAACATATAATTAGGTATGGTAGAGTAAAACGTATAATGTGCACTGACTTTTTACAATTTTTTACACCGCCAGTACAGATAAAATTGAAAACACCCCCCTCCCCTTAAAACTTAAAAAAAGACCAAATTTACCCTACTTTACTTTACCTCACCCTCTTAATTAATATTCAAAAACCCTTTTTTAAAACGCCTAAGGTCTATAACTATCAAAATCACCTTCTATTTTTAAAAAAAATATTACCCCCCCCTCCCCTAAAATTTAAATATCCTTCCTCCCTTCCTCGAACAAGCTCAAAACGTAAAACCCCTGCCTTCCACTTAATATGTTGCTCCCGTTTTCCGGACAAAAATACAACAAAAAGTGTTCGGCTATAGTGTTCCTATTGTTTGTGGATGGGTTTGGATTGGGTTCAGACGGATATTATTTATCTTTTTCGATTTTCTGTGCGTATAAAAAGTTTCTTTTATTAACTAGTAATTGCACCAAATATTACAGGTCTTTTTAAACAAGATCTATATAGGTTGAATAAGCTGTCTATTTACTATGGAAGTGCACCAAATATTACTCGAATTTTATAAAAAAATATGTTTTCAGTTGAAATTTACATTTTATTTTAAAAACTAAACTTTTTATTGTATTGTTGTGTCTATATTGTGCTGGCATCAAGGCACGGCACTAGAGAGCCAAAAGGGATGCTGAAGAAGAAGCATCAAAACGTTTTTTTTAAAGCTTACTTTACAAGTAAGAATAAGCTATACACTTTAAACAAGTAAGAATATTAGGCGTACTGTAACTCGCTAGCAAAGGCAAGTTAGAAATTTTTGAAAATATTTTTTTTGGTGACTTCGACTTTCATCCTATATAGGTCTTATTAGATAATTTGGCGCAATTCCCTAGTTAATAAAAGAAATCCGTCCGGCTCAGCTCTGGCTTCAGCCCTAGCTTTAGCCGTAGACTTCGCCCTAGCCTCAGTCCTAGCGGCTATATTATTAGTGCAAGGCAAGAGCAATGCTATGATAGAGTTACGATAGGCTACAATTAAAATAAAGTAAAAAAAGTTTTTTATTTAGTATTGCTAATTATTTATAATAGTTAGGTTTATATATAAGTGACAGGGCTGAAGCTAGAGCTGATGTTAGGGCTGAGGCTAGAGCTGATGCTAGGGCTGAGGCTAGGGCTGAGGCTAGGGCTGAGGCTAGGGCTAATGCTAGGGCTGAGGCTAAGGCTGATGCTAGGGCTGAGGCTAGGGCTGAGGCTAGGGCTGAGGCTAAAGCTGAAGCTAAGCCTAAGGTTAGGGATGAGGTTAGAGCTAATACCTGCTCAAT